TATCAGGACGACATCATCGTGGGTGGCAAGAACAAGGAGGAACTGATCGAGAACACCCGCGCGGTGCTGCGTAGGGTGCGCGAGTTCCAGCTGCCACTCAAGCTGAGCAAGTGCGAGTTCTTTGCAACGGCAGTGCCTCTGCTTGGCTTTGTGCTGAGCGCTCAAGGCATTTCGACGACGAAGTCGGCTGTGCAGGCCATGCTGGATTTCCCCGTCCCCAAGACGAGGAAGCAGGTGCGCTCGTTCATTGGCGCGGTGGGGCACATCAGCGGCTGGATCAAAGGATTTGCTGACATGCGGGCGCCGCTGGACCAGTTGCTCAAGAAGGACGTCAAGTTTGTCTGGACGGAGGAGTGCCAGCAAGCTTTCTCACGGATCAAGAAGGTCGTGACGTCCACCCCGGTGCTGCGGCTGCCGCGGCGTGATGAAGTATTTGTGTGCGAGGCTGATGCGAGTGACATTGGCACGGGCGCGGTGCTCTACAACATGAAGCCTGGTGGCAATCCGTCGGACATGAAAGGTCTCAAACTGGTGGGGTACTACTCGAAGCGTCTGTCAAGCGCGGAGCGGAACTACAGCACGACGGATAAGGAGCTGTTGGCGATTGTGCGGGCAGTGCGTCGTTGGAGACATCTGCTGACGGGATCCAGGCACAAGGTGATTTTCAAGTCGGATCACAAGAACTTGGTGAACTACCAGAACTTGGAGGTCAGGAACTACCGGATGGCGCGATGGATCGAGGAGCTCAGCCAGTGCGATTTCAAGATTGTGTTCACGGCTGGTGTGTCGCAGCCTCTGGCAGACTGCCTGTCACGCAACCCAAACTTTGAGGGCAGTGTGCGAGGCGAAGCCGCTCGCAAGGCGTTCACGCCGGGTCAGCTGGACAGCACGGTCGCGGCCGCAGCCACAGTGGCGAGCACGTCGGCTGGAGCAGGTCAAAGCGCAGCGAAGGCGGTGGCGGCGGAGGTGTCGATCGAGGATCAGATCCGCGCACAAGTTGGCACCAGCCCCCCTGACCAGAAGTTGCAGAAGCTGCTCGGACTCACGCTGGCTGATGGCCTTTGGAGAGATGGGAGCAAGCGCATCTACGTCCCGGAAGGTGACTGTCGTCGACTGGTTGTGGCCGAGTGCCACGATGCCAAGGGGGCGGGTCATGGTGGCAAGCACCGCACGAATTTGCGTGTCAAGCAAACGCATGTTTGGCACAACATGATGGAGTACATCGAAAAGTACGTGGCTGGTTGCACTCTCTGCCAGCAGAACAAGCCGTCGCATCTCAAGCAAGCTGGCCTGAACGCATCGATCGAAGTGCCTGCTGGTGTGTGGCAGGATGTGGCTATTGACTTGGTCACGGATCTGGTGCCGTCGAAGGATTACCGTGGGCACAAGCACGACGCGGTGCTCACTGCTCAGTGCTTGCTTTCAAAGCAGGTGCATCTCATCCCGTTTTCCAAGGATAGCAGTAGCGCGATGGTGACGAGGGCGCTCATGGATCGCGTGTTTGCGTACCATGGGCTGCCCAACACGCTGCTGCACGATCGTGATTCACGGTTCCTAGCTGAGCACATGACCAGCATCTGCAAGGGGCTTGGCATTAGGCAGCGGGCGTCAACGTCGTTTCACCCCAACACGAACGGGTCTCTTGAGCGACAGCATGCAGTGATGGCTCAGGTTTTGCGTAATTACGTGAACCACAGTCATGACGATTGGGTGGAGTTGCTACCCTGGGCCGAGATTGCCATGAACTCGTCGGTCAACGCAAGCACAAAGGTGACGCCGTTCATGGCGAGCCAGGGCTTTGAAGCTCGGACGTCATGGAAAATTACTCCTCCTGAACGAGAGTCGGACGTTGATGAGCACATCGCGCTCATTCGTACGATTGTTGAGGACACCAGGAAGGAGTTGGCCCGAGCGAATGAGCTCAGTTCGGCCAAAGTGGACAAGCATCGGACTCCCGCCCCTGGGTACCAGGTTGGCGACAATGTGTGGCTGGACACGCGGCAGCTGCGTCTCGAGACGGTGGCCACGAAGTTCAACCCGACGTACATTGGTCCGTTCGAAGTGCTCGAGGCGGACAAGCACACCGTGCTGCTTCGCCTGCCAAAGTTCATGAAGCATCATCCTCGCTTCCATGTTTCACGGGTCAAGGCCGTGGGGGCGGATGGCATACCTGGCCGGCCAGTGTCCGAGCCTCGTCCCATTCACATGAAAGGCGAAAAGTATTATCAAGCGGAAAAGATTGTTGATTCTTTTATTGACAAAGGAACGCTCTGGTACAAGGTCAAGTGGACAGGCGTGGAGGAACCGACTGTTGAGCCGTGGGAGGTGTTTGGAGAACACCATCGAATGACGGAGGCATTTCATAAGGCTAACCCGAACAAGCCTACTCGGGAAAGTGCCAAACGCAAGAAGCGCTAGTGCTTTGGGAATGTCTCGAAAGGGGGGGAAAGAAAGGCGGAGTGTTATGGATTGATGTGTATCTGTATTTGGAGTGTGTTCACTCGTCGCTTTGTATAAGTGAAGTCTCTTGTTTCCCTATCATCACTCTCATCATCAACCCATTACTCGTATCTTCGTGGAAGGATCTCTGATCATAACAGAATCCCATCATACCCCATCCATAACCAGCTGTGGGACCTGAGGTGCCAGGGTTTGCTCGTAACACCGATTTCTTTTTCCCCCCCCCCTCTCCTCCGCGCTCTTTTCGACCCTTCCCACCATCCCAGTGCCCTCCCCTTGTTCCAATCAGCATAAATTAAGTTTTACTTTCATAAACCATCACCAGCGGGGACAGTGATTTTTTCATCCCAGCAGCTCCTCACTCGCCGTCCTGAGCCCCCACCCATCGCCACCGGCTCGTCCCTTCCTGCACCTTCAAGTCTGTGTTTATTCGTCTCTCTGAGTAACCGGCGTGGGTCGTACCGATCTCATGGCAACGACAATCGCGACGCGTAGCAAAGTTTTATTCCAGTCGGCAGTCTCACGCATCGATGCTGAGCAGCAGCCTCTTCCCTGAGCAGCGACAGGGCTGCCAGAAATTCAATCAAACAGAGACAATTGTGACGAGGGCTCGTCGGCCATGCCCTGGTCGTCGTGGTTGTCAGCAAGTCGAGCTCGCTGACTTGGTCGAGTTTGCGGCGGTCGTCCACGTCGCTTTCTGGGTGCCTGAGAAGAAGGCTCGTATTCGTCGTTGTCATCATCATCGGTATCACCAGCGCGATCGTCTCTCTGGTGACCGCCCTTGGCGATAGTATACAGAAATGCATCAATAGCCGCATCGGACGGATAGCTTTTCAGGACGTTCAACTGGGGTGAGGGTTTGGGAATGTCGCTGCCCATTCGCTTTCTGAACTCGGTGATAATAACATCCCGAGGAAGGCCGATTTCCGAGCGCTTGGTAAACCAGTTGCGAAGCTCGGGATGCATGAGTTGCTCACGACCCAACTCGCCGTTGAGACACAAGTCCTCATGCTTGCCAGCCCGCTGGATCCGAAACCCGATCTGCCGGTAGGCATATGCGCCATTTGGACCTCGATACTCCTCGAGAACGGTGTGTTGTTTGAGAGAGTAGCGGCAATTTCCAAGAGCGAGCTGGTGACGAGGCTCGCATGTACCATCGTCCTGGTGATAGCGGCGAGGGTGGGCAACCGCGTCAATCGAGCGCTCGTGCGCGTCTGAAGGAATCGGGAGCTTAACTTTGCTCTCAACACGTCGATTGAAGCAATTCCATTGCTCGTATTTTGCGTAGTAGATGCGGGAATCAGGGGAAGCACCCAGTGTTTGCCTCTCGTCAGTCGAAAGGTTCACAGTTCTTGGAGTGTTCCTGTCCACACACACCCACGTCCCGCTGGCGTCTGGCTTGAAGGAGACATTCTGCTTTCTGTTGCGCAAGTCGCACCCACATTGCTCCTCCTCAAGCAGCCGATCTCGCTCCTGGGCGGTCTTCAGGAAAAACGGTGGTTCAAGGGGGACGCCGGGGCTCAGTCCGCTGATGTTCATATTGCTTTCTGAGTTTGACATCGGATGCGAGTCTTGAACAGGCTCAGTCGACTCTTCAGCGGCCTCAGTCGGGTCCTTCGCTTTGTTTCGCTTGCGATCACGTAGCTTGCAAGGATCGCAGGTGCGTGCATTGCGGCTAAACAGCGAGTGATGCGTAAGGCACTTATTGCTGGAGCACTTGAATCGTACATGAGTCAGAAGGGGTTCGGTGAAAGCGGCGACGTCGTCGAGAGACGAGAACAAGACGGTTTCAGAGTTGCGTTGGTGGCGTGGGTGATCTGGGAATATCGCGGAAGTTGGAAACTTGACGGCGTAGTGACTGTCGAGATTTTGTCCTTGCTATAGCTCATCTGGAATGTGCGCGAACGCGGGCAGGTCGATGATGGGGCGGACGAGATCGCAGAGCCTGATTGGAAAATTGGCGGGAAGTTCAACTTGCACAGTGAAGTCGATGCCTAGGATGCGCAGAGGCACGGTGATTGTGGCGGGGTGATTCGGTGCTAGGTCGACTGGACCGGGAGCATCACCAGCCGGGCCTGGGACATCTGAAGATGGGCCTGGGGCTGGCTCGGAAAAGGACGCGCTCGAATTTCCCGCGCTTTCGCTCATCTCCATTCTCGCCCAAGGGATGAAAAAATGACTGTCCCCGCTGGTGATGTTTTGTGAAAGTAAAACTCAATTTATGCTGACTGGAACAAGGGGAGGGCACTGGGGTGGTGGGAAGGGTCGAAATGAGCGCGGAGGAGAGGGGGGAAAGTTAGGTGTAGGGTATTGATCACAAGTTGAGCAAAAAAAGGCGACACGTTAAATGACAGGGGGTCCAAAAAAAAAAATAATGTCCCCACTCTCATAACTACATGCATTCTGAAAGTGGCGGCGAGTATGACTGAAATCCCTAGAAAAACAAACGGCGACATGTTAAATGACCGGGTGTCCAAAATAAAAAGGTAACCAGTGTCTAAAATTGCCTTTTTTTTTTTAATTTTTGTATTTTTAACACTTTTTTTTTTTTAATTTTTGTATTTTTTAACACTTTTTTTTCTTTGTTGCCCATCTTCTTCTAACCCATGCCCCTGGAGGCGCCAAGGGTCAAGGTCCTGGCGGTGTTTGCCTGCATAGTGTTGATCATCACATGGGCTTTGGTGTGGTCAGACTCGGCCATTCCGCCCGGCACTCCGGAAGCAAATCACGGAGCAGATGCGGGCATTTCTCTTTTGCCAATCGCACTCCCTCAGGGAGTGGACCATGCTGCTGTCGTTTTGTCAGACCCGAGTACAACAGGAGCAGCTTTCGCCTCTTGCATTGCGTCGGCTACAGATTCGCTGGCAGCAGAGCCAAGCCGTTCCGAGTCAGATGAGTCAACTCCGACACCGTTAGCTCCCACACCCTTACCTCCCACAGGCCCGACCGCCACCAGCCTCCCATCGGCTGCGCCCGCAGCAAAAACTCCATCGCAACACAAGCGCAATCGATAACCCAGGCGCCGTCGCCAGCAGAGCCTGCACTGCCAACTTCCCAAGCTTCTTCGGCATCTCCACGAGGATGGTACCAGCTCCCTGCGGATCATCCACGAGTGCTCGCCAGACAGGCCGCCGCCGACTGGAACAAGACATTCGACGTCTATCAGCCCCCTGATTCATGGCGGTGCCCGTATGAGAACGAGACTCGTTGGTTCTGGGACACGGATACGGTTGCCGAAATTGGGGTCGACTGGAAGACAGCGTTGACTGTTGCGCTCACCAACAAGACGGTCGGCATCCATGGCGACTCACTCACCCTGCAAACAATCTCAGTGTTCCTGAACCTGGTGGAGTCGGCCGGCTTTGAGTTGGTCAAAGTGAAGCGAATCACTCGCTTTACCGGCTACTTTCCCGCTCTCAACTTCACCCTCATCGCCAACTACGTCCCCTACATTGTCGACATGTTGGGCGAAAAGCCGTACCCTCAGCTGAGTTTGGATCGCCTCTCCCAAGCGTTCACCATCATGGCCGATGCTGCTGACTACATGGTGATCAACATAGGTCTGCACCTCATGTCTAACAACTACAAATTTGAGAACTCCTCGTGGGTGGATGCGTACACTCACATCATTCGCGTGGCTCGAGACGCCGCGTCTGCCCGCCAGGATCGAAATCCTGCAGCTCGCACCTTCTTTCGCCTGACTCCTCCAAGGCACTTCCAGGGCGGCGACTACGACAGCGGTGGCTTGTGCAACGACCGTGAACCAAAGTGGGGCGCCACTTACTCAGACTTCAACCTTGGGGAGGACCAGTTGCTTCAAAACCGAATCGTCAGCGAAGAGGTTGCTCGCGACCCTCGGCTAGAAATCCTGGACGTCGTTCCTTGCACGGTCGAGCGTGTCGACGCGCACCGTGGTGGAAACGATTGTGTGCACTTTTGTTTGCCCGGTGGTGGGCCCGTTCGTGTCTGGGTTGAGATGCTCATACGAAGATTGTATGACGGTCGCGTTTAGATGGATGATTTGAGGTGTTTCGCTTTGTTATTGCGAAAAGAAAACGACAATAGATTCATACACACGTCAAACTGACCGGACAATGGCCGATGCTGAGCAACGAGGTGGGGGTGTCCAAGATTTGCACTCACAATTCCTTCAATGATCGCGATTTCTCCTCCCCCCCTCCGCTCCCCGCGCCTTCCATCGCATACTGAGCTTCCGCACCAATCACAATAGATAGTCGAAGCGAGCATCGTTCACAGCCATCTCAACATCCGAAAGCTGTACACCACGGAGCAAAAACCTCGACATTTTTTTTTGCACACCGACTCTGCCACCCACAAAAGCCGTGGCATGCGTGCTGCTTGCAGAAGGAAGAAAACAGCTCGGGCATGCTCCGATCTGAGCAGCGTTGATATAGTTCTTAGGGGTGGAACGAGAAACACTAAATCGAGCGTTGTTTGCTCCGTTCCTTTTTTTTTTTTGTTTCTTCCCCTGCACTCCACTTTGACTTGATACTCCAGACACAGACACGAATCAACTCAACCCAAAATCGATGTTTATTCGCACAACACCTTGCTTGTGCAACTAGTACACGCCAGGGATGATGCGCGACTTGACAATGTCGCGGTACTTGATCCAGTCCTTGCCATACTTGTGCAGGCAGTGCTCGTCGTCGCGGCGCTCGCGGTGAAGCAGCAAGGGGATAAAGTACATGAGGTAAAAGTACGGCACGACGTGGACAAATCCGGCAGGGAGGCACCACGCGGCGGCCATCAGCCAATCGCCAAAGTAATTGATGTGGCGCGCCATGCCCCAGAAGCCCGAGATGAGAAGCTTACGGCCAGTGCTGGTGGTGAGGGTCTTCAAGTCTACACGTGTCCGGGGAAAGACGGGCAACAGAGTTGAAATAAAAAAAATGAGTTTAGATAGCAAAACAAACCTCGTTCGGCTGGGCATTGCTTTCTCGCATATCGTTCAAACAAATCTCTATCTGTGTCATTCGAAAACGTACGGGACACGCTGGGATGGGTCGGGTCGCGGCGGAAGGTGTCCTTCTGCGAGTTTGCACCGCGGAAGAGGTAGAGGCCAGTGAACTTGAAGGCCAGGACAATGGCAATGTGAATCGGATGCAGCGTGTTGGGATACAAGGCCAGGTAGCGCGACGAGCTGACAAAGGTGAAGGGAACCCACACCAGATCGCCGAAGGCAAGCATGAAACCAAAGCCGTCGGAGGTAATGTCCATGGTCGTGAGAATGGATTCCTACAACAGAGAGATGGTACAGAGCGTGCGAAAATCAGGTGAGCAAAAACAAGGACAGACAGGAAACATTCCAACGCAACTCACCTCGTTGAGAAGGGCATCGATAATGTAGTAGGCATGGAACAGCGAGACAAGAATCAGCGTGACGGATTGGGCCGTGAATCCACCCTGGAGGGAGTGTTGGTGGTACACAAAGGCAATGTTCAGCAGCATCCACAGGCTGAGGCCAGGACGGAGCTCGCAAAAGTACTTGAGGTCGAGCGAACCGATGCGAGGGTTGAGCTCGCGGCCAATCCAAAAGTCGTAGATGGGGTTTTTCGAGTTGCCGCCCAGCGCAAAGCCAGTGCCCTTGATCTCAGCCGACACGAACAGGTAGATGGAGAGAAGCGTCGAGAAAATGACGGAGGCAGCCAGCAGCTGCTTAAAGTTCTCGTACAGGAATTCGAGGACGGGGAAGTTGACTTGCAGGCTCAGAGCGACCACAACGCTCACCACAAGAGCGGCCAGACCTACAGGAGAGTAGGAGCCCAAGTGGTGACATGCACCAGGTTGGTTGATCATTCACTAATTCGGCCGCAAGTTCGTTTTCGAACGTACCATTCAAGGGATACTCCAGACGCTTGCCATCCTTGAGCGGAACACCCAAAGCCTTGCGTGTGGGAATGTACAGGTACAGGGCCACCTGGAAGAGGAACCAGGCGACGTACACTGCAAACGCCTTGAGCGAGACCCAATCGGACAGCTCTTGTTTGCCAAATTGCTCGCAGAGTTGCGCCCACAGGACAGCAGGCGTGAGGATTGTCTTCCACTCGAGGCAGTAATCTTGGCTGCAAAGCACCGGCAACGCTGCCGCCACGAACGGGACGACTGTCATTCAAACCAGAAATCGCAGCAAAATCCATTGAGTGAAGACGTTCAAACGGAACCAGGAAAAAAAAAAAAAACCGCGCCAAATTCAAATTTGTCAAAGATCAGTAACGCTGTTTGTTCAAACTCAGCCACCCCATCGTCGTCGTCTTCCCATCCAATCAACAGGACACAATGAAGGCCAATGCGTTCTTCCTTAGCTGAACGCATCTCTCGAAATTGCGGGAGAACGAACGACCTGATCGTACTGACATGGGATGAGGAATCCGGCGCCGATCGGACCACCCCACTCGTAGGTGGTGGTGATGGCCTCGCCGTTCTTGTCGACGAGCTGCTTGGCACGGGTGCTCCGTGAGCTCTTTGCAGGAGAAGCAGCAGCAGCAGCAGTCGTGGTGGCAGCGGCGACCGTCTTGGTGGACTTGCGGGAGGGCGAGCGGGATCGAGAGCGCGAAGGAGACCGCGAGCGCGAGCGCGACGGAGATCGGCTGCGACGGGCAGGCGACTTGGACGCAGCACCGCGCTTGCTGGGCGTCGCAGGGGTACCGGAAGCAGCGTCGCTGGCTGCGGTTGCATTGGCGGGCGTCGCAGAGCGGCCACTGCGCGTCGACGAATCGGAATCAGGCACTCGAAGTCGCGCCATTTTGTACGGTTTGGAAAAAAAAAAAAAAAAAAAAGCAATGAAGAGTGAGTCAAAATCGGGTGATCAAGGTTGGAAGAAGGGTGGGAAAAAGTTAGAGAATTAGAGTTGAGAGTGCGTGGGAAGGCAGAGAAAGATAGAGCTGGTGCCGCTGGGTCAAACCTGGGGGGGGGGGCACATGCGCTACGCTAGTTGCCCCCATACTGCCTTTCAGCCTTTCAGCCTTTCAGTGCCACCGAGGCAGGCGGGCGCTTTTATATTCATTGGTTGGCGCGGGTGGGATTATGGGATGGCGTTCATGTTTGTGTCATTCAAGGAGTTCAGTGCTGAAAACGCGCAAAAAATTTGAAATTTGGGAACTTTTTGAACAGTTTCAGAACTTTTGATCTTGTCATCAGAAACTCTATCGACCAAAGCTGAAACCTTGGAATAGTAACACTTCACTTTGGGAAAAAGGCGCGAGGCATGGATTTTGTTACGAACTAGGCTCAGCCTAGTTAGGCTTCCCCTCATTCTTCACTATATTCTTAGTACACGATACTTCCGCATTCTATTCTAGCATACTTTAGTAGTGATACGGGTTATGTTCCGGGTAAGGTCGTAACAGATTTATTGGAATCATCAACTACAACAACGTGTTCGAGTTCAGTGCATTCGAGACCTGGTGGAGGACCTCCACCACATTCTCCGCCGCTGAATCGTGTTTGCGAGAACTCCAGCGTTTGGCGGCAATTTTCTTCAGCTCACCAACTTCACCCAGCTTGACAGGGTCGCCATCTTTCTCCAGCGAGCGCGGATTTGCAAGCTCGAGACCGTCCGCAACCATCTCTGCCATCATGTTGATGGCGGACTCTGTCAAGCCAAGCTGGACGAGTGCTGTCCACCGTTCCTCGAGCCGAGCAGACTTGAGTTTGTCAAGTTTGGCACGAACGATATCGATAGTGGGGTACTTGGCGGCCACATTCTGCTGCTCGCGGACGGTGCTGATCGGCAGCTCGAAAACGTATGCCGCAACACGTGTGCGAAGTGTGTACACGACAGACCTCAACAGAAGTTTGTGATAATCAGCGCGTGCGCGGCCTTCATCGCCCTTCGCCTGCTTCCGGGACGTGGCGAGCTCGTCCTGGACAGATTTTAATTCTTGCGAGAGTTCAAGCACTTGGTTTGAGAGTGACTCGACTTGCGTTTCCAGCTCTTCCGCCTCCGTAGTCCGCGTGTCAAGTTGGGACTTGAGCTTCTTGACTTGACGCTTGAGGCTGTCCACGTCCTGCTGCAAGTTGACGTTCTCTGTCTCCAGCTCGGAGACACGCGTCTCGAGCTTCTTGATAGTACTAGCCTTTGCGGAAGACTCGGCACGAGCTGCCACCAGCTTCTGCGTCTGGGCGGTGAGCGCGGCGCGAGCAGCACTCAGCTTTTCGCGAAGAACTCGTTTTTCTTGCGCGCAATGCTCACCGCACCCGTCAGAGGGGGCTGAAGTCGTGGCATCAGAGAGCGTTGCAAGCGGTGAAGCTGAGTTCACCGAACTGGTGGAGTTCGAGGACGGAGGCAGCGAGAGGTGCATGTCCTGGCGAAGACAAAAACAAAAACAAACGTTCTTTCTGACGTCAGTTTGACCGTAGAGAAGGCAGCATGACATCTTGAGCTCGACATCAGAGAAGTAACAGACTGCGAAACACCTCAAACAAAAAGACAAGGAGGAGAAAGGTGAAGAGGCGAGAAAGAAGCAGAGAGGAAAAAAAGGGCGGAGAGAAAAGAGAACGAAAGACTAACCAAATGGAGTAATCGAGATACTGATACAGTACATGCACGCTTGTTCATAGTAGGGGAAGAAGGTGTCTCAACACCACTTGGAAACTATCCGGGCACATGCGATCGGGTGGACTCCTCGAAGAGGGGGTGATTTTGATCCGAGTTACAGTACAACTTCGGAGCGTTCCACCAAAAGACGTAGTTGCCACCACAAGCAATCAACCCCAACCCCACCTCTCAACTGCAAGGGGTAGACATGCATCATAGTCCTGTCAACTCGACGAGCCCTCCAAGACCAGAACTGGCGGCAGCAAAAGACCGCCACAGCAAAACAGTCTTGAGAAATGTATTCAAAATCCATCAACAAGAAAATTACAGTGCACCCGAGCTCCATTCACACAAGTCATGCCAAGTGCGATGCAGTGGTGCCTCGCGATGTCATGTGTCGCATGAGCAATGCGGTGAGTTTTTCAAGTCGTTTCACGTCTTGCAGCTGGTCTGTTCGGAACTTGTAAATCTGCAGCAGCGAGATGGACATGCACACAAATGCGACAGAATCGTCGTGAGCAAGCTGAGTGTTGTCAACAACGAGACTGAACGGAGGGAGGATACGCAAAGCAACGTTGCGTCGAGCTTCAAGGCTCGAAAAGCCGGCTCGTTCAGCCGTAATCAAAACCCCTCCCTTCGCCTCCACTTTCAAAACAGATTAACACAGCGTCCGTAACCCTCAACATACATGTTCAACACGAATCAACATCAGCAAGAGTCAAACATTGACGAGATTGCAGTGAGAGTGCATTGCGTTTTTTGCCTCTCCTCGCTTTCGTCCGCCTCCAAGCGACGGTCCAGCCGCACCCATCATCCCAATCTCTCCTCCTCCTCCTCCTTGGGACTCTGTCTCCTACACGACGCTATTCGATTCCATCCGGACAAGCCAAAACGCCGTCGTCCTCCAAACCACGAGGAGGCCCTCAGCCTGATACGCCTCTGCTCTCACTCGCTTCCCCATTGCCTTCCCTCAAGGCCAAGCACAGTCAGGGCCCAGTCTCATCCAGCCCCCTCCGCCTTCCGTTCCGGGTCTGTCGTGAGTGAGCTTGGTCATTGTTGCCTCCATAATGCCAAAAAGCACAGGAGAAGGGCTTTTCTCTCTCTTACTGTCTTGTCGTCGGTCGCCTTGAGCACAATCAGTCCTTCAGCGTGCTGGTACTTGACAGTCAGGCGCGTCTAACGCAATTCGGGGACAGGCAGCGTGAGGGTGGGGTGGGGTGAGGGGCGGTAAGCAAGGACTCCATCTCCATACAATCAGCCTCCATACATCAGCCCTTCCCAACCCTTCTCAGATCGTGTCTTCTCAATTCAATTTGTTTTTTAGTTAAATTCTCACTTTGGTTGGGTTGTCGTGGTACAGACGCTCGGTCGCAGCTGCAAATTCGTCCCAGGTCGCCAAGTACGGTTTGGCTGGTGCGCTTTGCCCTTTGCTGCTACTTCCAGACGCTGCACTGCTCGACATCTGAGAACAAAAACAGAATAATAATAAAAAAGAATGAAGGAAAGCAACCTATTAAAATAATAATAACACCCCCGCCTATGAGTTTCTCAGAAACCTGTCAAACGATCTTAGTTTCCTTCCGCCTTCAAACGGTAACCTGTCTCCATCCCATCCCATCCATCCAGTCTAGTTCTCCTTTTTTTTTTTATTTTTTTTATTTTATTCTTTTATTCTTCTTTGACGAATGCCGCCAACACTCGCGCGAGAGGACGACGGCGGAGGAGGAGGGAAGCGCCACTATCCCTTCCTCTCAGCCAAGGACGATGGCGGCGCCTACACGCACTCGCTCTTCCGCTCCTTCAGCAACAACCTTCTGCTGGGCCAGTGGGAGCTTGCACGCGCGGCATTGCGGCGCCTCGCTGCACTACAGCAGCCGATTGTCGCCGCCGAGCCAAAAGAGCCCAAAGACACACACGACCCAGTGAGCCAGCCTATCCCGCTAAAGCAAGTCTTACACCGGCTCATTACGGTGCCAATCTCTGCCTCCGCCGAAGGGTAAGAACTAAAACGTAGTAATTTTTGGTTTCGTTTTTTTTTTAGTATGTGATTTTTTTAAAACTCGATTTTATCTTGTTACTGATTTTTCTTCCATGTTTCCCGCCCTTTTCCCCTTTCCTTTCCTTTCTTCCCCCAATAGTCACTGGACTGCGTCTGTGCAATCGCCGTTCCACCTGTCGTGGCTCTGCGCGCAAGAGTACATTGATCTGTTCGTCCCAAGCACTGTGGCTGCGACTGGCTCGGACCATGATCATCATCACAACCAGCAGCAGCAGCAGCAGCAGCAGGACGAGGTTTGTGTGATTCTGTCTTGTGACAATGGACAATGGACGGCGTCCTGGTCCGACCTCATCGACTCACTCTCAATGCATGTATATATACGTGTGTGTGTGCATCATGAACTTGAATCGGGTTTTGGGGCTTTGCGCGCCCCCCTCGAACAACAACACAGATCGACGCAACGCCAATTGCAGCTGCATTCAAGCACGAGCTCGAGTTTAACATTCTCGTTCACTCGCTGTTCGCACCTGCTGGTAATGGCAGCAGTAGTGGTAGTGGTAGTAGTATAACGTGATTGCTGATGCGTCGGGAGCAGGTGCTCGCGCCGATCCACGCGCCGTCACTGCCATCGTCGAGGTAAAACACTCTCAAATTGCGTTTGTACCCCCTGCTCATGCTCACAGCCAAACCCCCCCCCTCCTTTGCTGCATCACCCTTGGAAAAAAAATCGACGCGCAGGAGCTCCGAGCAATTTATAACGCACTGGCGCGAGGATTGGCTCCGGCCACTCCCACATTCACGGACGCTTGCATTCACCAGCTGCTTTCCGCTTTTGATCGGGATCCATTCATGACCACAGCGATGATTGGCTACATTGCCGTGGCAGGGGCGCCCCCGTCGTTGCATCAGCAGCGTCCTGCCCAGAGTTCGCTGCGCGGACAAAGCGGATTCGCCGAAGCCTTTCACATGCGCGTTGTGCTGCCGACAATCGAGGCTCGACTCAATGCCGGTCGGGCGGAGGACGTCTATCCAGTGCTAACGCTGCTCGATGTGCACGAGCCCGTGTCTCAAGCGATGGCGACCGCCTTGCGCAACTTTCTCACTCGTCTGGCCGACTGCGCGTTCGGGTTTGACGCTTCTTGCGCCCTGAGCGTCCAGCTCACCTATGCGTCGCTCCTTGGCCGCGAGACACCCTACCTGGTCAAACTCTTTTCAGAGTGCGAGGCCAGCGCACGCCGTCGTCTCGCGGAAACCCACGCGATCGTGGTGCCGCAAAGCTCCGACATGACTCCCGCAGCAATCTTTCAGGTGACTGCCTCGCTCGCTTACGACCAAGCCTCGAGTGAACCAAGCGCATGGGGATTGTCTTACACCAAGCTGATTGGCACACCCTTCAATGCCGCTCCCGACACTGACGAGCAGGACGGCGACGAGGATTCGGGCGAACACGCCGTGCGCCTGACGAGTGAAGCGTGGAAGCGCCTGTTCTTTACCATCGTCACTCACAAGAGCCATTTTCTCGAGCATTTTGCTCGATCGGCGCTCGACTGCATCGACCGTAGCGACTGGTCGACGCTAAAGTCGCTCACCAGCTTGGCCGAATTCCGACCGCTGCGACCCATTCTCTTGTTGCTTGGCTGGAGTCGATGCCGCAGTCACGAAGATGCACAGGCGCTTCTTGCAGCGCTGTGGAGCGCGCACTCGAACAGTCCCGACGAAGGCATTCAATGGCTCTGCAGCAAGCTCGTCTACCAAACTCGGCTCGCGGATTGGCTCCAGCGGCACGCTGCTGCGTTGCTGCCCGCCTCTCGTGCCGCCACAAGTGATGGTACTGCTGCTGCTGCTGCTGCTGCTGCTGCTGCTACAGACTCTCCTGCCGCGCGCCGATTTCCAGCTGTGCTTTCAAGTGCGGTTGTTCGCGACCTCTGCTCGCGCTCACCGCTCACGGTCGTAGCGGAACACATGAACTTGAACGAGGTGGATGAAGAAAGCGTGTTTGAGTTGCTCAATCACCAGCTCGCGCCTCCTGCTGCTGGCTCCGAGCTTGACGAAACGTCCATCATGCGCGGCTTTTGCGCGCTCAAGCGAGTGTTTGAATGCATTTCCCTGCATCTCAACTGCACGAGCCCCAGCATTCCGGATGCTGTCGCAACGGCGGCTCGCACCTTGCTGAGCCAGGCGCAAGCTCACCTTGTGGCGCTCACTTCGGTTGCCTTCCGCACCGAGTTGCTGGAAAACATTTTCTCGCTCCTCTTCCTTTCCAACGACATGGTCGGCTTGAACTCGGTCGCGGCCAGTCCCGAAGCAGATGATGGTGATGAAGAAGAAGCAGAACAAGAACAAGAACAAGAAGCGAAAGAAGCAAAAGAAGCAAAAGAAGCGACGATGGACGCAGGCAAGTCACCCGATTCGGCTGCGTTTGTGGTTTCTGAGGCCCTGGCCGTCGATCTTCTCGCAATGATGAAGGAAGTCATGATTGGTCTTGAAGCGGCTCGTTTCGAGTTGGCAAAGAGTCCCAGTCCCTCGCCAGCGCCCGACAAGACCGCATCCAGCTCTGCTTCCGAGTCTCTGGGCCTGCCTGCTGCGCCCGAGGCTCGCGTTGCTCTTCAGCAGCGGATTGCTCATCTGGGGCAGTGCGTGAACGAAGCGCAGTGGCGCCTGCAGCTCGTCGGAGGCCTGACCAGCGGTCCAGAGAAGCTTCGCTCGCTCGACAACGTCGACTCTGTGTCGTCCAACATTATTCGCTACATGCTTGCCTCCCCCGATACGTTGGTTCACATGTGTTTGCGCGCGAGTGACTACGATCGGGTCAAGCAAGTCATCCAGCTCTTCAAGGTGCAGGGTTCGATCATTGACGACGCGGCCTTTGCCGAGCGTCTGGATGCTGCCGTGGCCGGAATGGAGAAAAAGCCAATCCACAAGTCGCTCGAGACACTCGAGTCCCTTGCCGTGTCCGTCCCCAGCACCGAGGCACGTACTCGCCTCTTCTTTGACATGGCCTTGTACGCGTCGTCGCCCGAGCTGTCCCGCCAGTTGATTATGCGCGCGCGAGCGTCTTTGCTCGGCGGCCCACAACATTCCACTCGCCAACCAAAGGGCGAATCGCCTGCGGCGAGCCCAGCCGTCATGTCGGTGCTCGGTTTGACCCCGTCTCCCAATGCCGATCCAACGGCCAGTGCCTCGATTGAGGCGCCCATCCAATCCTTGACTCGGCTGATGGACAAGTGTCTCGACTTGCTCGAGCTCTATCCCGGGGACAATCTGCGAAAGCGTCTTCTCGAAACTGGCGTGTTGCGGCACGCAGACATTGAGCGCTGTCGACTCGAGATTGCCCGCTTGGAGCAACAGCAAACCGCGCTTACCACCTTTGCCGACCTCCTGACGCGGATTGAAAACGGTGACGATCTCACACCTGCGACCACCAAGTTTGACGACCTCACTCGGTCTGACGGCGATGAAGGGCCAACGCCGAGCGGCGAGTCACAACCAGTCCAGCAGCAGCAGCAGCAGCAGCAGCAGCAGCAACTAGTAGCACAGCAGCAACAGCAGCAGCCGCAACAGCAGCAGATTTCCTCAGTCGAGTGGAATGACCGACAGCGACACGCGCCAAGAATTGCGTCCGCCATCAAAAAGGGCATGCGCCATCTGGCCAAAGTGTTTGCCGCCTCGCCCGTGTCACTGGGCGCGAGCAACAGCAACCTCTCGCTTGTCGGTCTGGACGCCGCTTCATCTACTCCAATGTACTCGGCTCCTGTCGACTACTTGGGCCGATTCTTCACTTACATTGAAACGCTAGTATCCTTGCTGAACGGCAACGAAACCCTCAGCCAGTATCCCGAGTCCCGAATTGTCAATTGGTTTGATGTGTTGCGCGAAGGGCCCACCCACACCATTGAAAAGCTCGTGTTTGATCGCGCGCTCTTCTTTACTGCCGAACGGGCTGCGGAGCGATTCCACCTTGATATTGTTGTGATTATCGTGCGCAGCTGCTGCCCGCGCATTCGTCGCCGAACACGCACTCGCACAAAGACCATCAGCAACCAAGCCTCGCGCTCGGCGTGCTCGTTTGTTGGTCCGCTGAACGTCGTGAAGGGCGCACCAGCCACGCCTTCCGACGAGCAGACTGGTTACGGGCTGCCTGTGCCTGCATCTGTTGCCGTTGCCGCCGCCGCGGCCTCGCTCCAGTTGGTGCGCTCGCTTCTTGAAAACATGGTGTCGCTCTATCGTACCCATGCCGGCTCGGCTGGTACCATTGATCAAGACGTCAAGCTCACGTTGGCGGCTTCCCGCGAATTTGAGAGTCTGACGCGCGCGACCGCCGGTCTGCAAGGCGTCACCCTCTCTGGGCTCGTTTCCCACGAGGAGCGACTGTGCCTGTTTGTCAACCTGCACAACCTCATGTTCATGCATGCCTGCATTGCGATGGAGACTCCCAGCAGCATTCTCGACCGAATCACCTTTTTCAAAAGCATCAAGTACATTGTCGGTGATCTCGGCATTATCAGCGTCTTTGACTTGGAGCACCTCATTTTGCGCGCCGCCATGTCGACTCCGGAAATGTTTGGTATGTTAGACGTGGTATTTTTGTCGGCTTTTTTTTTTCTCTGTTGGTTGATTGCTCACGCTGGTTTTTGTTGCTCTTCATCTTGCAAAACTCCTCCGATCAGGTGCGGCATTCGATAACTTTGTTCAACGCTTTGGCGAAGGAGATCCCCGCGCCAAGCTGGCGTTGGAGCGACCCGAGCCAAACCTGCTCTTTTTGCTCAACAGCGGCTCGCAAGATTGCCCGCGCGTCCGCATCCTCTCGCCAGAAACCCTCGAGCAAGACATTGCCACCAACCGCACCGATTTTCTCGACCAGCACGTGCATGTGGATGTGGACAAGCGTGCGGTTACTCTGCCAAAGCTGCTCGAGTGGTACAAGACGGATGTTGTCGGAGACCGGCCTGCCATCGCTCTGCTGCAGTACATTGTGCCGTACCTTTCGGCCAAAAAGAAGCAGCTGCTCACCGTGCTCTTGTCTTCCTCAAAGACGTTTGATACGACTGACATTGCCGTCAGCTTTGCCGAGTTTGACTGGAGCTTTGGCTACTCGTTCGACAAGAAGCGCGCAGCATCGACAACGTCCAACCAGCAAGCAGCATTGGCGGGCGGTCCCCCGACGCCCCAGCTCACGCGGACGCCCTCCACGCTTTCGTCCTCGTCCGTTGGCTCCTCAACCTCCACGCCTTCTAACAGCAGCAGCAGCAACCCGCGCAAAACGGTTTCGATTGCCCCTCCTTGCAGTCTTCTCTGGAGGGTCGGCACTTGGCGCAGTGCACGACTTTAAGGCTGAAAACCAAAGTACAGCCTCTCGCCGAGATTCAGGTGTTCCTCGAGATCAAGTCTCCGATTGTCGCGGCGCTTGCCGCCCTTGTCAACCCCGCAAACAAGGCGTTTGACGAATCCCGGCCCTTCACCGACCACATCATGATGCAGACCCAGACCTTCCCAGCGCTGCACCAATTCATCATGATGCGCTTTGGTCCGCTGCTCGAGTACTTTGTCGGGCGACCGGAAGAAGAATTCACCTCGCACTACCTGTACATGCTCGAGTCGCCTTCTGCCGTGCACGAAGAAATGTACTCGCGCATCATTGATCGGCTGATTCACGAAGGGCAGTTTTCGCGCGCCCTCAACTTTGCTGACGATGGTTTGTCCTCTGGCGCTCCGGACTTTTTGCTGTGCGCCATGGCTGATGCAGCGCGAGACCGCGTGGACGCCTGGAAGTACATTGTTCGGCTTCGCGACAAGTCCGTCGCAGCCAGCTTCCTGTTCCGCCAGGCCCTCAACTGGCCTGCCGACGTTTGCATTGATCTTTTGGGAATGTGCAAGTGTCACATGCAGGAAGACAACCCGCTCTACAATCAGGTCTCGGAGATGCTCGAGCAGCTGCTCTTGTACAAGCAAATTATCGCCATCGACCGGCGGTGGGGCGATTGGCACACGGTGGCGGCCATGCGCACGCAAGATCCTCACCCAGTGGCGGCGGTGCTGATTGAGGCACGTCGGTTTGACCTGGCATCCCAGTGGGCGACGCTGTGCGGCAATGTTGACCTCAAGCAGGAGGTGGACAAGAGCTTTGTTCTCGACCTCGTCAATCAAGGCGACACCATTCGGGCCTACCAGCAGTTGGAAACGATGGAGCGTCCCGTTGCGCTCAAGGTTTGCCACTTTTTGCTCGATCGCGTCAACACCTTTGGGAGCAAGCTGTTTGTGGTCCAGTTTGTCAACCACAACCTCTCGTCCATCCTGGGTCCCGAGGACGCGGCAGCGCTCGCCAACCAAGAGCTCACCATTCGCGTTTTGCTCTGTCTCCCGGCAGAGCTGCGTCCCGATTACGAGCAGCTCGTGCCGTACCCCGAGCTCATTCTCGAGCAGCTGCTCATGAATGTCCGTGTGGATCTGGCCGCCCTTGTGATTCGGCGTTTCCCGAAAATCTTCCACAAGGGCTTGGTGACTGTCTATGCCGAAAAGGCGCTTGCCTTTGCCACCGTCGAGGACCAACGGCTCATTATGCAGTCCATGCGGCAATCGCCGTCGACTGCCGGTAGCGCGTACTATGACGACCTGTCCCCACCTTCCTCTGCTCCGCCGACACCGCGCAAAAATGCTCAATCCGGCAGCGGCTTTGGGCGTGCAGCACTCGGAAGCGACACGCCACGCCGCCAACCAGCGTTCTCTGGCTACGAGCCCGTGCCCGTCATTGGCACCGATACACGCGTGTCGCTCTCCACCGTCAATCGCCAGTTGACAGGCTCCGACACGGTCAACTGGGTGCCTGACAATGATGTCAAAGTCTGCATGGTCTGCGAGAAGGACTTTTCAATGTTCAATCGCCGCCATCACTGCCGCATTTGTGGCCGTGTCGTCTGCAGCGGTTGCTCCAACCACACCGTGCTGCTCACCGACTTTGACAAGCCCGTGCGCGCTTGCCAGGCTTGTCACGAGGCCATTGTGAAGGATCCTGCCATTGCCGGCGTCGCCTTCATGCCGGGCACGACCGGGTATGCCAAGGTGATGGAGGAAGGCGGTGTCTTGCCACAGAGCCAGTCCTCCTCCCGCTCTGCAACTCAAAGCGGCGGAAGCACAAGCGCGCGACCATCCATCGCGCCAGGCTCGAGCGCCTTTGGCGCATTGTCCACACCCTCTGCGGTCGATCGCGCCAATCCGTTTGGCCCAGGCCCAGGCTCCTCGATGCAAATCGACGGTCTGGCCTACGATCCTCTGGCCGAGAGTGGCATTTTTGATGTGACGGGCCCGACTGTGCCCGTTGCAGTGTCGCGCGCGTCAAAGTCTCAGCCCCAGCGCGCTGCGGCCGACTCGGCAATGGGAGCCGCCCAGCGCGGCTCGACCGGTATGGAGCGGTCGGACTCGTCCTCGGACTTGATGGCAATTCTCGAGCAGAACATGGCCGAGAGCTCGCAAAAGTCGCGGGACAATGACTTGCTCGACGGTCGCAGTCTTGAGCAATTCATGCAACGCCAACAGCAGCAGCAACAGCAGCAACAGCAACAGCAGTCGCAGAATCCCGCACAACGCAACGCTGGACGAACGGTTGGCGCGACTTCGTACGCGACAGTGGGCATCAACGCGCGTCAAGCGCAACATTTGGCGTTTTTGGGCACTGCCTTTGGTGCCGAAACGCGCTGGCGTCTCAGCCCCGTAGAGGCCAGCAACGACGCGGTGCGTGCACGGTTCCACTACCTGCAGGCTGCGAGCACAACGTTGTGCATGGCCATTCTGGATCTCTTCCCTGACGGGCGAAATGCGGGTGAGACATCGCTGCGGCTGTGTGACCACTTGTCGGAGCAGCTGTTGAGCGACCCGTCCACAGTGGACCACTTTTTGATCATTAGCATCATTCAAGTTCTCGCCTTTAATGCAAAGTTCAAATTCCTCGAGAACGCCACCCACCACGGCATCGAGCTTTGTGACACGTATCTTGGCCGGGTGGATTTGTTGCGCATTTTGATTTGCTCCCGCTGCAACTATCGCCTCTCGATTGCCGACTTGAACGACCCTGACAAGGCGCGAAGGTTGCGCGATCGCTTGATTGGCGACGATCGCCTGGGCTTGGCCATGGAAGTGGCAACCAAATGTCGGCTGGAAACCGCTCCCGTTTGGGCTGCATGGGGCATGGCAAAGCTGCGTCTCGGCCAGTTTGAAGATGCACGCGACAAGTTCCGACACTGCATGGCTGTCACGGGCGTGATTGTGCAGCCGTCCACGTCCACGTCCGTGTCCGCGTCCACTGGAGGAGGAGGTGCCTCGGCAGGAAGCGGCCAAACGACCCTGTCGTCTTCCCCAGCAACAACTTCGCCTGTCATGTCTCCTCACGCAAGCAGCGGCGCGTTGGCGGCCATGGGTGGCGCCGTGCCGGCGTCCTCTTCTTCGGCGATGCCAGGACAAATGCCGAGCATGGGCGTGCTTGGGTCGTCGGCACAGGCGCTGGCTGCGGCCAACGCCAGTGGTGTGGCGACTGCTGGCGACTCGCTGTTGCTGGGTCGCATCATTGACACCATTGAAACCCACGCCCCGGTGCGTTTGACAGACCTCAAGTCGCTGCTCGCACTGTTGAGCACAGCCCGAGGCCGCACGGCGCCCGAGTCGTCCTTTGCCGAGCTCGGCCTGGCTCGCGCGCGGGTGAGCCCCATGAGCTGCTTGGATCCCGAGCGCTTTGAGGAGTGTGTCTACTACCTGCGCCATTACGGCTCGCATTTGTCGCTGTTGGCGTTCTACTGTCGACACGGCTTTGTGGACAAGTGCTGCGAGCACGTGTTGCTGTATTCGCTCGAGCCAGACACCTTTGTCGACTCGGTCTTCAAGACGTGTCTGGAAAAGGGCTGGCTTGGCCATCTCAAGGATGCCATGCGCCATCCGCCGCGCGCCAGCCTGGGCTTGGCCCCAGCGCCCGCAGCACCGGCTACCAGCAGCAGCAGCAGCAGCAGCGTTGTGAACACGGCAACGTTGGCGTCCGCTCTTGGAACCCTCTTTGAGGAACCCGGTCTGCCTGCGCACCCGCGCTGGACGCCCTACTTGCTCGCGGTTTGCCGCTACCTGAACAAGGCCGCCCGCCTGCACGTTCTGCTCGAAATGCAATTGTTCATGAGCGATTTGCTCCGCGCCGCTTTGACCTGCATCAAGTTCTTTATGCAGAGCGGCATCCAGCTGTCCGAGCGTATCGAGCACTTGCAGCGAGCCAAGGGCCTGTTTGAGCTTGCGCACCGGGAAGCCCAGCTCAAGCCTGGCGTCGATGCAGAAGCGTCGTCGTCGTCGCCATCGTCTCAAATGGGTACTGCAACAACCAAAGCAGCAGCAGCTCAGTCTCAGCAAGGCATGTCGACGGGCGAAATCTCAAAGTACCTGCGCGCTGTCACGTTGCAAATGGAGGTGAGCTCGTTCATCTTGGGCGAGTTCCGCGCTGGGCGAATCAGCGAACTGCAGGTGAATCAACTGTCGTCCTTGTCGCTTCTCAGCAGCGACAAGATGAAGACGCAGCTCGCTGTCGAGCTGTTGCTGGTGGACAATGGCTTTGATCTCGCGTTCAAGGTGTGCCAAGAGTTTCGATTCTCACTGGCCTCCGTCTACAAGGATGCGGCCGCGGAAATGGCCCAGCAAAAGGACACGCGCCAGATCAACGAGCTGCTCAAGAACGTCAAGGGCACCGTTCCGGACGAAGCCGTCGACGAAATTGTGCTCGCCTGCATCGAGGTGTTTGCGCGCGACGCGCAGGATGTCAAGCTCTCTGAAAAGTACATGCAGCGTCTCAACAGCGACACCAACAAGATCAGCGCATGCATTGCCTGTGGCAAGCTGAAGGCTGGCTATCTCATTGCTGTCAAGGCCGGGATGCACGACCAGATTGAGCGCATTGCCCAAGTCGCCTCCAAGCTTGGTCAGAAGATTGTGTTTGAGCTCTGCGAAAAGTATCTTGCGACCGTTCAGCGGCGTTAACAGCCATCCGAGATTACGGTCGAAATCACGTCTTTGATTTTTTTTTTTTTTCCCTTTGTTGTTGTTATTTGTTTGGTTTTTGTCTTGTTGCCATGTCTTGATGAAAATATTGAACGTGTTTTGGTGCTCTCGTTGCTGCCTTTTTTTCAGTCGTCCTTGTCTTTGAGTTCAGAGGGCCGCAGTTGCTCAGAGAAAAGCGAGAATGACCACTTTAGGCTCAGCCAATGGCTCACGCATCTTGTCGCTATCCGGGGTGTCCAGTCCGCGCTCGCCAGTCGCCACCATCGGCGGCACCATCTCGCTCAAGCAGGTCACACAGTCGTCCCCATCGCCACTGGGCAGCTTGTCTGGCAAAGGTCCAGCAGCACAGCAAGCGTCGGGTTCGCTGCTGAATCCAGCTAAGTCGAGCACTCCAAGCCCAAGCCAAGCAGGTCACCACCAACACCACCACCACCACCACCATCATCATGCTCATCATGCTCATCACGCTCATCCCAAGGAGCACGAGGCGGAGGATGGCAGCAACGCCTCGCCTGCGCCGCGGCGCACACTGATTTCGCTGTCTGCTGTAACGGCAGGATCGCCAGGCTCGTCCGCTGCTTCGACGGCAGCTGCGATGCGGCGTGTGATGCCGGAACACGAAGGCCGCTATGTCATCACCTACCCAAAGTCGCGGTCGTCTGCGTCGGTTTCCTCGGACGCGTCCGAGTCTGAATCCTCCGTCATCACTGCTGCAGCGGAAGGCGCATTCACTCCAAGCAAGAAGGCCAAGGCTGGCGCAACAGTGACACCTGGTAAATCGTCACGATCGATGCTGTGCCATCAACGGAGATTTGGATTTTGGCGGGTTGCTTCCTTGAAGAACGGGGGGGAGGCGGTTGTTCAGCAGCTAAGCGCTCACCGTTCGTTCTTTTGCCTGACTTGCACGCTGCAGTTCAAGCTCGAGTCAAAGTTATTGCGACTAGTGCATCCGCAGCATCGCCTGCTCGGATCTCCAAGGCGACGGCCACAACTGCAGCCAACACCAAGAACGCCACCGTGCTTCAACGCGTTGTCGCCGCTGTTTCATCGCCTCAGCAACAGCTCCAACAGCTCAGCGAGAGCGATGCAGCTGAGCATGCACGAAGACAGCAGCGTCGCAATCGATTTGCCGCTCCAGCACCCACTTCGCAGTCGAAATGAATTGAAAACAATGAGGGTTTTTGTTTTTTTGTTTAAGGTTGTTCAAACAAGGTAGTTTACGCTTTTTTACTGTTGAGGATCTGTTCAAGCTTGCGAAAGAGGAAGGTTGCTTGTGGTGATAGCAGGCAAAGGAGCATGGCGGGGACGACGAGGGAGACGGCTGATCGCTTTTCACGTTCCAGTTCATCCCCTCAAAGCAACCGAGGCGATAACGCGGTCGTCCGACCGTTGTGCGCAGTTTGTAGTTGCAACAAATAAAGACAAAGTGAAAGGAGCAAAAAAGAAGGGAGAACAACAGCACACAAACGAAAAAAAAAAAAAGCGAGAAAAAAAAAGAAATACGCGAAGTACCGGAATCGAACCAGCGACCTTGACATATCGTTGTTTCCCAAAAACGGGGAACATACAAGTGTCACGCTCTAACCACTGAGCTAACCGAAGTCGCAGTTGGGCTTTTACGGATTCGATCCAAAGGCGTCGATTTCAACTCAAAAACCGAAAATCCAGATCAACGAGGAAAAGGCAAGCAAGCAAAACAAGCTGCGGCGTGTCAAAGGATGGACTGTTTTTCCATTCACTCTTCACACAAAATTCATTTTCATTCTATTCAAAGCCCTGTATTTTCATTTTGGTCGTTTTTACTCTTTTTTTTTTTTTTTTTTTTCCATTGTTCTTTGATTCGTCTTCTCCGGTCAGAACTGGACTTGCAGTGCTCTTTTTTATTTTTATTTTTTATTGTTTTCATCTCCAATCCCATCATGCTTGCAGCGGCGACGGGATCCATGCAGATGCAGCGTCAAAGTCGCTCCACTGTCGCAGCCGCCGCCGCCGTGATGGCGCGCCAGCTGCAGACCAGCAGCCGTCGCCGCTCTTGCTCTGCCACCCACAGTGCGAGCGACCACCAGAGCAGCAGCATTCCCATCGCCAGGCTGGATGGCGCATGGCACCGCCTCGCTGCTTCGACGACGGCGAGCAGTGCTGCTCCACGAGGTTTGAGCCACACGGCGCACCACGCGTACCACAGCCACAGCCACAGCCACAGCCGCTCGAGTGCGTCGCCTGCTCCATTCGCTCGGATGAGCAGCACTCGCCCATCCTGTGCTCCGTCGGTGCTGCCGGTCCAGTGGGCGCAGGCCGCGCGCTTGTACACTGCGATGGCTGCTCCGGCTGAAAGCAACGCCAAGACGCCTGGTTCTGCTCCTTCTGATGCTCCTGCTTCTGATGCTCCTGCTGCTGCTGCTGCTGCTGCGGTCAACTCAACCGTCCTGCAAGACTTTCGAGAGCTGTTTGACATGTCGGACATCGCCTCCTCTGGTGGACGTGGGCAGCATGCTCCTGCTGCGGCCAAACCGCAAGTGCTCGCATCCACAAGCCAAGAAGACCATCAGCAGACACTGTTGGATGTGCCTTCCAACACCACCAACAACAACGACCGCACTCAAGTCGCGAGCTCAAGTCCTGACCCTTGGGCCGGATTGCTCGCCTCGTTCGGACATGACTCTGTCGCGCCCGACCTCCAACAAGTTCACCGTCGTCCAGAGGTCTCTCCACTGCAGGCAGTCACATTTGCCAAGTCATCCATGCAGTCCCAGTTTCGGGCGCGTGAGCGTGCAGCGGCAGACCCGTCGACCGAGTTGGAGTACTCCTTTTCGGGTGTGCATTGGACTTTTGACGCTGACATGGCTCTCCTTCGAGCGGTAAGTACTCTATTCCCACCAGGAGTCAGATTGAAGAGGGGAGAGAGAGATTTCAAATGCAGCAACACTCACTTTTCTGACCTTGGGGCAGGTGCGGGAGCACGGCACCAAGTGGTCACTCGTCGCGCGGACGGCATCCGCCCTTCTCAATCCCGGCACAACGGTAGGCCTGTCGCTCCTTGCGCAGTCGGTTGCACAGCGACCAGCTTCGCGGATCGATGCTCCGGTCCGAACGGACGCGTACATTACTCCACCAATCATGTCATCGAGAGCATGCCAGGCTCGCTTTGCTCGGTTGCGGTATGCCGACTGACTGAGATGTCTGAGCTATATATACGTGCTGCCTCCGCGTGACACTGACTATTGTGTGTGTGTGTGTGTGTGTATGCATGGACCTTGCTGTTTTTGTTTTTTCTTTTCCCTTTCTTCTTCCCCCTGTCTTTCCTTGTTTCAGAGGAGGATCGCAACACCGCGACGTTTGGACTCCAGAACAATCGGAATCTCTTGCTCGTGCTGTGGCACAACACGGCGACAGTTGGAAGGCCATCGCAAAGGCTGTAAACTGCGGGGTAGGTTCACAATGCTGTTGTTCCATGCCTTTGTTGCGACTGCCTTTCGATCAACAACCCTCACTTTTATTTTGTTGTTGTTGTTGTTGTTGTTGTTGTTGTTGTTGTTGTTGTTGTTGTTGTTGTTGTTGTTGTTGTTGTTGTTGTTGTTGTTGTTGTTGTTGTTGTTGCCGAATTTTGCTTTCAGCGTTCCGCGGCGCAATGCTTTATCGCCTATCACCAGCTCGATTTTGCACCACCCACTCGGACACCCAGCGACGTGCAGACAGGTCCGCGCATTGATTTGCCTGGGCATCTTCACTTCTTGCGCGTCTCAGCGCGATCCTTCGTGTCCCAGTTGCAAGCGGCTACGCTTGTGCAAGAATTGAACATTGCATCGCGCACAGCGCGCGTCTGCGCAAATTTAGCCGAACTTCGTGAAGTGGCCTTGAAGCAATTCGCCGAGTCCTTTGCCGATCCAGAAGCTGCCATTGTGCCGACATTAGACCGTTCCGATTTGCCGTTTTTGATTCAAATGTGGCTGCGACGACGACCGAACATGCACCATCCTGGACTGGCACCGCTCTTCACCAAGTTTGCAAGTGGCGCGTTCGAACTCTTGTTGGATCTGAGCATTCTTCGCGCGTTGATTATTGGAGGGCCTCGCCAGTCGGACGAAGTGCTGCGTCGCCTCATCGCTGCGGACTCGACCTTGTCGGGGAACGTGCACCAGGCCATCCACGCCTTGTTGAAGAGCCACCCGCGGCTCGTTCGTCGTTCGACCCCTTCCTCCGCTGAGCAAGCGTCGCAGGCTCTACCAGCTGAAAAGCTACGCGCTGGTCTATTTTTGACTCCCTGGATTGAAATCAAGCCCATTCAATCGATCGACAAGGCCGCATTCATTCGCCAAGCCATCGACGATTTTGAAGTCGAGGAGCGCGAACTCGAACCAGAGGCTGGCGAAGCCCAGTGGCGAGCGAACGCCATGAAGCACTTTTTGAACTGCATCAACAAGAATGTGTTTGCGCCGGTTCCGCTCACGTCGGAAGGGGTTGACGTTCTGGACACTCTTCCTGTGGAAGAGAAAAAAGGGGAAGCAAATGAATTTGTCTTCCTTCCGCCCGTCACTACGACCGCCGCCCAATCGCGGTTCTTGTCTCAGATGCGCAAGCACATCCGCACGGACGTTGTAAAGCACGTCAACCTTCAGCGCGAGCAGTTGAAGCCATCCGTCTTGGATTCGTTCCCCTGGCACCAAAACGCCATTTCGAGTCCCAATCACGCGTCTGCGTATATTCGTGTGAGCGGCGCAGGCGAATTGTTGAATGTGGCAGAAGCCGTTGTGCGCTTCGACGCCCGGTTGCTTCCCATTGTCAGCGACCTGACGCTGCAGTTGCGGCTCGTCAACGGCGCGTTTGAAATTCAAGTTCTCCAGCCCAAGTCCCAGCGGACTCCGAGCCCCGACCTTTCCTCGTTGGCACATGTATTGAACGTCAGGTTGAAACTCGACGGACTCGCACTCGCGCCACAAAAGCACCCCTTTGACTTTGGCATTGGCAAAGCCGTACCTGGTGCAGCTGGTGCGCCCGACTTTGCTCTGGCATGTACCCTCCAAGACCTGGAGTCGCTGAAGGGATCCATAGCCCAGGCAGTGCTCTCGGCGACGGCGTTGAATACATTCCAGAAGGTTGATCCTTTCATGCCATTTGAACACCTGTCTCGCAAGGCTGGGTTGGAGCAACAAGAACAGCTGATTGCCCGGAAGCAGGCCGCGTCCGAAGCTGCTGCCCTCCGATTGGTGCAGTCACCCGTCGTGGAAGATGGAAAGGACGAACAGCAGCCCTCTGAATCTCGGGACGACGCGATGGGCGATTTGCTTGACTTTTTCTCTCAAAAGCCGGCATCATCTGGCTGATTTGCTTTGGTTGGAATTGAGGTGCAGCCAAATACAGTATCCCGCTTGACTAGTAGACTGCATTATACATTGTTACACTCCTAACAAATACGCCATTCTAGTTTAACATTTGTGCAATTAGCAGTACTGTTCATTCGGTACCCGTTGTCGTGGGGCCCAAGTATGTGCGTGTCACAGCTTTTGTGGCACAGAAGCGACGACAATTCTGGCGCCTCGATTTCTGGAGCCGACCTCAACAGCAGATGGATCCGGTCGCACTGGTTCGTGAGGAAGGTCGGTCGTGCTTCTCATTGACACGTTCGTCCTGGTCAGCGACTTCCGGCCGCCCATAGCTGTAATGCCACAACCACTCTTTTTGCCTTGTGGAAAGTTTGCTCTGCCGGGTCGCGAGGCATCCAGCAAGCCATCCGAGGCGAGCGCAACTGTCGGACCGGTGGCGGTGACGGGAGTCAAAGCCGCTTGGGCTCGTGACGCCTTTGAGTCTGTCTTTGCCGGCGTCGCTGCATTCACGGCTGGCAACGCCGGGTCGGTATTGTCGACCATTTTGCGATACATGGTTGTTGGAATTCCCAGCAGCTGATGGAGCGCGGTGTCGGCCAAGTTGTCGCAGTACAAGATTACTTCCAAGAGCCAAAATACGGACAAGAAGCGAGGATTGGTGGTTGTGAGATGACGCATGTACAGTGTAGCCGCCAGTTGTAAGCGAACCAGCAGATCTTCGTACAACCGAGCGTCGCGGTGGCCAGCAGCAGCAGCAGCAGACGAGGGGGTAACGGGTTTTCGAACATGGTCGCTCAAGTGTTCGAGCATGCCGCTGGCAGCAGCAGACGCAGACGAAGAAGAAGCGGATGGAGTCCCGTCAGCAGCAGCCGTGCTACTCCAATGACGAGAGCTACTGGTTGGCGCGGTGCGTGAAGACCGGGGGGCTGCTCCATCACTTGGCGTGACCGTAGCCGTCGACACTGCCGTGCGCGTGGCCAAGCTCCGCTGGCGCTCTTTTGCATCATCGATCGCAGCTGACGAAGCCTTTACGTGAGCGGCAAGCTCCTGAAGCAAATCGACCACGGATAGCACCTCGTGTGAATGCTGCAACAAGCACCTTCTGAACGTGGTGCCAAGTTCGGCAGCTGGCACTTGATCGTCGCAGAGTACCTGCAACAGCTCGTGCTCCAAGGACCGATATCCAGATGGCAAGATACTTGCTGGTGCAGAAATCCAGGCACCGTGTTCTGGGTCGTCAAAGCACTCTGCTAATGGCGGAGCAATAAATCGGCATCCCACATTAGCAATGACGAGCTGCATGAGAATCTGGTCGTCCACAGAGGACACCATTCCAGCAGGAAGTGATAGGCCATGGAAGATTTGGAGATGACGCAGGTAAAAGCACATGTCGTTGTGATGGCAGAGCCGAAGAAAGACGCTCTGCGCGGCAGTGATTTGCTTTTTCGGTTGGCCATGTTGTTGTTGGTGGACACTGGACGGTTTCAGGAGATCGTACATCCATTGGTACATGCGCGGCGGGTAAATGACTTGCGATGTGTTGGGTGGAGGCGCAAAAGCGCTAGTTCCAAGCAAGCAAAGCGAGAGGACGTACAAAGCAGGTGAATTTTTCCCCAAAGCGCAAGGGCAAGACCGGGTGCAAAACAAAAACAATAGATAGAGCCTGCACAAACGTACTTTAGCAACGAAACTGGCGGGGAGGAGGTGAAATACGCGTGCGTTAGAGCCTGCCGTGTTCGTAACCGTTTAGATGGATCGAATGTGAACAGCCCGCGAAGAAGCTGCAACTCGATGCTCGCGTCTGGCAAAACATGCTTGAGCATGGAGTCTAAGCTGAACTTGTAGACTTTGGGATGGCTAAAGACCAAACCAAAGAATCAAATCGTTGCTTGAGCGCAAGGCGAACGAGAACAGCGCACAAAACCAACTACTGCATGGCAACAGCCGTGGCTCAACTTACACACTCTCCCACTTTTCAATCAAAGGCCAGAATCGCATTGTCGTCACTTCCGGCCAAGCCTCAACTGGAGCAGGAAATTTTACAAGTGAGAACTCCTCCGTTAGATGCGAATTTCGATGATGCATGCGTGATTCCATCCCGTCAGCTTTACCAGTAGGAAGACCCAGCGCGTGGAAGATCTTCATGGCTTGATCTTGCTCGAACTGGTCGCGAGTTTTTGGTTCGGGCAATGGCTTGCCCCTAAAGATCGGCTGAAGCAAAAACATTTCCGCCAAAATGCAGCCCACCGACCACATATCTGATGCACCAACAACATTGTTGTGAGTGCTACAGCGGAGCGGAAGGAGGAGGAGGAGGAGGAGGAGAAGGGCAAAAAGCAAAAAAAACAACAACAACAAAACCAACAAAGCAAAAGCAGAACTTACCTATCGCTCGAGAGCATTTGGAATCGCCAAGCAGAAGCTCCGGAGCCCGGTACCACATCGTCACGAGCACCGGTTCTTGCGCTTCACGCGGTCCGAGAAAGAGCCTGGAAAGCCCAAAATCACCGATTCGCACCTGCCCTTGGCTGCTGATGAGAATGTTATTTGGCTTCAAATCGGCGTGCACAATCCAGTTATCGTGCAGGTAGTCGAGCCCTTGAAGCAGTTGCCACATGATGGCTTTGATGGTCAGGGGGTGCAGGCGATCTTTTGCAGCAATCGCGCGGATGCCTTGAGAAGAGTAGCCTCGCAAGCCACTTGCGCGTCGAAGAACCTGCTCGGTGAATCGCTCTGCAAAGTTGCTCGAGTATCGATGAAATCGAATGATTTCCTGGAGCCATTGAAGGAATCGATGGCTTTCAGTGTCACGCTTTCCAACGGCAACTGAACTATATCAAAGGGACATGTCAAACAAAAGCAAATACATGTAGTACTCACATGCAAATCGTATTCCATGAAAGGAAAGACCAGTCCAATTTCGTACTGATGCGGAAAGTAAATAACATCAACTAGGGATATAATATTGTCATGCGACAGCTCGCGAAGGATCTATGGAAAGCATTCCAAGGTTGGTGTCTGTCAAACTTCAGTATCACATGGCTGATGCTGACACTCACAGACACTTCTCGAATCACAGCCCGAGGCATGCCGTTGGACTGTGTCCGGGACTTGATCTTTTTGAGCGCGTAGAACTTTTCGTGAAACGTTGGGAAGCCACTGTGATGATCAAACCCACAAAAGGTCAGTTCGGAAGTGCCAAGCAACAGTCAAGCATACACCCCCGGCCGACGACATCGAACATGCAAAACACCAAAACAACAAAGACAAAGACAAACGTACTGGCAAGCAACAACCTTGTACACTGTGCCGTACGATCCTGTTTGAGCACACCAGACCGTGCATTATGCCTTGAGTAAAAAGGCCAGAGTTTCAAAGCTGCCACACAAGAACATGACGAGCATAAGGACGGCCACCGTACCTTCGCCGACTTTCCCAAGCGGAATGTACATTGGAGCGCCTCCAACCCAGGGGTCGTACTTGATGCGCTGGGCAAAGGGCTCTTTGCCAAAGCAGCTGTTAAGACACGGAGCAAGATCGCGCGGATGTAGCAATGGAAATGCGCGCACCAGAATGTCAAGGGTTTCCTTGTACAAGTCCGGGGCATCGGTGGGCAGAAGCTGGGACAGATCCAGCAAGCTCAAGTCGTTCTCATCTGCAGCAAGCACATCCGGACTGCAGTGCAGAGTGGGCTGCTCGGTGGCCAGCGCCGCAATCACAGCATCGAGGCGTTTGACAGACGAGTTGTTTGCCACGGAATGCTGCGATGCCAAATTCTTAATGTGCCGAAACCAGCTCGTAAACACTGCATCGCTCGTCGAGGACGACGATGAGCGCTGTTTGAGCGAGTCGATGCGCTTCCTGACGAACGAGCGAAGGTCGCCCAGCCACGGTTTAGCCTCCGCTTTGCTGCTGTGCACGCCGTGCAACACCGCCTTGTCAAGACTTGGCACGACGCGGTTTCGGTTTCGCTCTGCGGATGATGGACTCGACTTGGTTTCAATCGTCAGTAAAGTCGCACTACTACTCGTATGAGTATTGGTGTTACTTGTGCTTGGACCATTGCGAGAGGCGCCATTCTGATGCATCGTCTCAGTTTCATCGTCGCCGTCGTCGTCGTCGTCGGGATTGTCGTCAGGCGACTCTTCCGCGCTATCGGCAGCTTGCTCATGATGGCTGCTCTTGGTCACGAGCTGTCCCACATCAGCAGCAGCAGCAGCAGCACCCATCGCCGTCGTTTCCCGCCATCCGTTTCCCGCCATGCTGCGCAGAGCGAGATCGTCATCGTCTCCAGCCTCGCCGTCAGCGCCTTCGTCACGGTAGTCATCATTATCATTGTCGTTAACATCACCGTCACCATCATCATTGTCGTGATCGAAGGCGTCTGGCCGGCGACGTGAGCTGGACAGCACCAGACTTGAATGATGCTCTGGCTGCAGACCAAGCTCATCGTCCTCGTCCTTCATTCTGACAAAGAACAGACTGAGGCCTCGCCGGATCGCGCAACATAGTAAGAATGTCAATTGCTCTATTCAATTCTGAGAGGTTGAGATTGCAGCATGCACCAATCGAAACATTACTGAAAAGTTTTAACTGTTTATGCACAAAGAGTACACACGCACACGGCATCACCTCCCGCAGAGCGCACGGAGCAAGAGTCGGAACAAGCGAACACGTGAATACAAAGAATCCAAGAGAACAACAAGAAGCAGGGCGGACTAAACAAACAAACCAAAAAGAAGCCGAGCAAACGAAATGAAAACAAAAAGTCAAAGTTGGGGCGGTCCAGAACAATCACAAAACAGTCATGCGGCACCAGTGCCTATTGGACACGACTGCGAATGATTTCGAACGCGAGGGGAGAAGCCCAACAACATGAGCAGTTGACCTTTGGAACCAAATCGTCTCGAAAACAACAAATGGGGAAAAAATGCTCTAGTTGTCCTCCTCTTCCTCCTCCTCATCGCGGTGGCGGTGGCGGGGAGCTTCTTCCTCCTCCTCTTGCTGCTGGGGCTCGTCCTCTTCGGCGGCGGCAGCGGAGGCGGGGGCCTGGCGGCGGGGCTCCTCCTTGGGCTCAGAGTAGCGCGACGAGCGGACGGGCTCGGCAGCAGGGGCAGGGGCCCACTTGGCCTTCAGGGACTCCTTGCCGAAGGCAGTGTCGTAGTTGCCCTTGGTCTTGAATATTTGGGTAAAGTGGGGCTTGCAGAAGACCTGGCCGGCGACGGCAGAGTAGGCGCCGAGCGACAAAATCTTCTTGCACTCCTGGCATCGGAAGCACGTCTTGTGGTAAATGTGGCCGTCAGCAGAGATCTGCTCCATGGGGTAGACGGTCTTGTCGCAAATCTCGCAGGCAACGCGGGGCTGGGGCTTGAAGCCGCCAATCTTCTGTTAAATTGGGAACAAAGCAGCAAACAAACAAAAAGGTGAGGAAGTTTGAGTTGTTGAAGTTTGATAGTGTTTTTTTGTTTTGTTTGTCTGAGTTTTTAAAGTTTTCGAGGTTTTTGTTTTTCAAAAAAAAAAAAAAAAAAAAACAATAAAAAAAAAGTTCGAATGATTTAAAAAAAATAAAAAAAAAAGTTGAAAATCAACAAACGATTATAAAAAGAAGGCAAACTTTTTTTTTTTTTCGATTTTTTTGTTGTATTTTTTTTTTTTGTTGTTTTGGGTTTTTTTTGTGTGTGTGTGATCGCATTGAAAAGTGTGATTTGCTGCTTATGTTCAAGCGTCCCATTGCAAAAAAGCAATGCACACAACACGGATCAGAGCAGACACAGCAAAAGAAGCGCGGCCAATGTTCGAACGTTTGAATTGCCCAAAAAAACCACAAACAAACAAGAAAAAAAAGAAAAAAGAAAAAAAAGGTCATGTTTGATTCAGAGTCTGTCTGGTTTGTGTTTTCAATGTTGGTGCTTTTTGTTCGGTTTGTTGGCAGCGCATGTCGCTGAAGAAGATCCCAGCGAATCAAAAGCCAAACGATCGATGCGTGCAGCTGGAGGTCGCTTTCGGCTTCTCTCTCCCCACCCCCTGCTTCCGAGCAGCACGAACTGAAGAGGATTGATTTTTTTTTAAAAAAAAAAACAATAAAAAAATGGATTGTGTTTGTTTGTTGTGTGATTGCGTGCAGCTGGTGAGTGGCAGCACAGCTGACGGACCACTTCATGAATGCAAGATCACCACACGCTGCATGCCACTGCGAACTGGCAGCGGAATCAGACGCGGAAGCGAGAAGGAAGAAAGAAGAGAAAAAAAGAGAGAAAAAAAAAAAAAAAAAAAGAAGCAGCAGAATTTTTCGTTTGGCAATCTTTGCTTCCACTGGGGTCGATGGGAGAAGCCAAGGAAGGCAAGCAAAGGGAGAGAGAGAAAGAGAGACAGCAGGGGATCAGACGAGTGGTGGTGGTTGGAGGTTGGGTGGGAAACAACGCACCTTGGGCTCGCTGTCGGTGGACATTTGTGTGAAAATTTGGGTCGAACTGTGGGTGAAAACAAGGACTGAGGATTGTGCTTTTTGGATCTGAATTGGGACAAGAGCGAGAGCGAGAGAGCCACACACACACATACACATACACAGACAGACAGAGAATGAGAGATCGAAGTGAGCTTGTGCGGGAGGGACGACGAGGGTGGTTGCGATTGCGAGAGAGAGCGAGAGATTGCTGAAAGCGAAAACAAAAACAAAAGCTGGGTTTTTCATGGGTTCGTTTGCTTGCTTCTGCCACTGGCCTTTGTCAGCCTCGCGATGAGCTGCGTGCGTGCACTGTCCAGCGACGTAAGCACCTTCCGATCTACTTGGATCCCAGTGGATGGTCTGCGCAAGCGAGGGGCGCGCGAGACGAAAGAGCAGAGCGCGGCACCTGGTTTCAAAACCGAGTGGTTCGTCTTGCGGTTAGGATCTCGCCATGCTCCACGGAAGCCACAACCGCCCTGCCCTCCCAAAATATCCCAAAAAGAAGCCACTCAAAACCACAACACAGACCTGCATTGGGGGTTTGGAGCGGACGGCGCAAGTGACCGCTCAAACCGCAGTTGTGTTTTTGTGTGTGTTGGGGCAAATTTCGTCGTCACAACAGAGATTTGAGGTGCTTGGTTACAGCAAATCACCATTCATGGTCAATGACAATCCTCGTGCTTCGAGTCGCCAACAGATACAAAAAATACATGCAGAAGAAAAAGAGCTATCCAGACGAAAAAACGAGGACCAAGCAGAATTCCATGAAATTCATTCAATTCGCAAACTCACGACAACAACAACATCATGCAAAACAACAACAACAAGAAAAAACAATCCAGGGTTCAACTACTCTTCGATGGCATCATCCGGCGACACATCCTTGCTCTTTGCAGACGAGAGAGACCGCGGGACTGGCGGCATGGACGGGCTCAGACCGAGCTCCTTCCGAATCCACATCTGCGCGCGTTCGTCGTCCTCCATCCCGTACGCTTGTAGCACACTCGGCACAGGAGGCCAGACAAAGGGATTGGGAATGTCTGAGGTGGGCTCTGCAGCCACTACAAATTTGCAATTGGGGTCGTTGGCGTCGGACACGGACTTGACGCTGCCCAGCATGCCCGGATGGCTGCCAGCCTCTGTCTCCGTATAAAAGGTTGATGTTGTTGTTGTTGTACGCGCTTGCATGTTTCCAGCAGCATCGCGACCCAACCTCTCCATCATTTCATCAAACGTGGGCAGCAAGACGACGCCAGTTTCGCGTGCCTTGATTGCTGCAGCTTCCGAGTACCGCGCCTCGTTAAACTCGGTCCAGTCGTCCGTTACATCAGTAAATCGAGATTCGTGGGGCGACTTGTCAGCGCCAGTCAAAAAGTCCTGATAAAGTGAGTGTGGCCGTCGGTGGAGTGGGATGCACCCCAAAATCAGTTGGCGGCGGAAACTGTCGTCTGGCGCAAACTCCTGTCCAAAGGGGTTGGAGCGTGCTGACGCGGGCGTGGTGAGTGTGTGCGCACTTGATGGCGGAGCAGTTCGTAGCGATCCTGCAGCAGGTTCTCGAGGCTGCTGAGACCCACGGAGTCCAGTGGTGGTGTCGCCTGGCAGGGGCGCGCTGGTCGTAGTGTCACCCTCTTTGGTCTGTCGCTGGAGAAGTTTGGGGTGGCCATCGTTTCCTAAAAGCTGGTCTGTCTGCTCTGACATGGTTTCGTTGGTGCGACTGATAGTGTCTGTCGCTTCCTGCAGCTCGCGACGTCGTTCGAGCGCGGGGCGGCGAAGCTTGTACCGATCCACCCGCATGATGGCCGTTGCAAAGCGATTGAGCACATCGTACTGCTCTTTGAGCTGGTCATCCAAACTGGCGAGCTCGTGTCGATACTGCTGGTTGCGGAGCAGGGCGTCAGCTAGTTGTTGCCGTCGATTCTCGCTGGCATTCTCGACAGTGCTGGACGCCTTGTGCTTTTCTCGCACGAGATTTTGCATTGCCAGCAGGCGACCCTGCACTTGACGCGCAAGGCCGGTCACGACAGATAGCGCTGGTGGCAGCGACATTCTGTCTGCGATGCGTTCCACCGTTCCCGCCGGGATGTCAATTTGCGTCGTGATTAGGGTTGATGCGTCTGGCAGATGTGTGGCAGTAGTGGGTGCACTTGGGACTTGTGGCTTGATCCCCAACACTCGCCGAACCGATAGTGGAATGTACTGATCGCTGCTACTTGAATGAACGGTTCGAGCGGTTGTCGTGTTCTCGAGCGTGGTGGGATCATCGAGAACCTGCCTCCTTGTTGCGGTTGGCAAGGTTGGAATGCCTCTGCTTGTCACGCTGCCTTCGCGGACATAGGCATTGTTCTGACTGGGTGCATCTGGACTCGTCTGTGTGTCGGCGGAGGAGTCAGTGTGAGGGGTGTTGATCTCGGGCAATGCTGTCGGAACGCTTTGAGAATGTGGGGCAGCAAAGCACTGTGCTACACCAACAGTGTCGTGGCCGAGATCAAGGTGAATAAGCCCATCGGGGTTTGGCTCTGGTGCTGCAGGCGCGAGCTCCTCCTTGCGCAGCAGTCTACTGGCAAATTCGGCCAACGTTTCTGTCGGCGGCTGTAGATCGGATACTGCCGCGGTAGAAATGTCTGCCTTGGACGAGTGCAACTCTGCAGCATGGTCCCCTTGTTCCGATGCGTCCTCGCTCTCTCGCACTGGCACACCCAAATTATTCGAATCACGAGCGTGATGATGGTGCATGCTCTCGCCACACGTGCAAGCTGTATGCACCACACCAGGCTCCCGCCGATTGGCCCCAGGCGCATTCGCGGATGCCGAAGAAGTTCGAGTCTGTTCCGAAATGGCAGCCAAACCGGTCGAGAATGGGCGGCGTGGTCGTGTCAGTGCTGGACTTGGGGCAACAACAGCACTGGGCATGCTGTGCATACTCTTTGTCTCGAGACGACGGTGGCGTCGGAGGAGATGACGTCGCCGCGGAGCGGGCTCGGTTTCGACGGCGTGGTCACTCGCGGCGTTGCTGGTCACAGTGCGGCCTGCTCCAAGTCCACCCGCCACAACCGGCAGTGCACCCGTCGACTTTGAGCGAGCCAAAGCCTTGTGGGCCGCTTGCTGGGTGATGGAGTGTGCCAATTCGGCCTCGGCTTTATCATCGCCCAGCTCTGGGCTGTGAGACCCGCCAGCGGCATGCGGCTTGTCTGTGCCGAACTGATGTATCTGCTCGCGGATTTCCTTCAATTTGGTGCGGCCCGATGCAATGAGTAGGTACGAAGCCATTGCCATCTTGCGTCGAATCGGGCGGACGTTGGGAGGAACATCATCGGCAAGCCATTCCCACTCTTCATCGTCCTCTGGCTCCTCTAGGTCGTCCATGCCGTCTGGATGGAGCACCGCGTCGGCTTTCTCTCGCTCTGAAGCAGCGATGGATTGCGACGTGCTGGGCTCGGCGTCGGCAGTCGTGTCGGAAGCTTCTTGCGGGATGCCAGAAGACCGCTTGTGATTCTTGTCGGGACGCAAGTTGGCTACGGCCGTTGCTATGGACCGCTTCACAGCCGCAATCCGTTTTCCGGAATGCTTGGTCGGCGCGGTTTCCTCTTTCAGCGGAGCATCTTCGGCTTCGGGAGATGGATGGATGGAAGTGGCTTCTTCTTGGGCAAATCTCGCATGCTTTTCAACCTCGACTGTCGGCTCCGGAGAGCCTCCACCAAACGCAGCGCGGAGCGATGCCACCGAGCAAGGGCTGTGAAGCCGCCCATGGGGTCGGCTGCGGTTGTTGGGACCAAACTTGAGCGGCGCCTTCTTGTTGTGGCGAACTCGCTTCTTTTTGTGACGACGGCCAAAGTAGATTTCTCGCAGTAGCTCAAAGTACTCGGTGATGGTATCCTCGGGCTGGAAACAGCGACGAAAGGCCATCACCCAGTCTTCCGGCGGCCGCCGTGTATTCGCAATGCGACGCGTTGAAGGCAGCTGCAAACTGGAGGCGGCATCTTCTTGCGTGGGAACGATGGTTCCACGTTGTTCATACAGCACTGGCGGAGTGGTTGACGAGGATGATGATGGCTGCGGCTGTTCTCCGCTGCTTGTGAATGTCTGCTGTTGCGGTTGCTGTGGCGGTTGCGGTTGCTGGTCAGCCGAGGGAGCCGGTTGCATGCTGCTACTGCGTTTGCTGCTGTTGGCCGTGCGACTTGAAGACGAGTTGGGTGTGCTGGGGTTGCTCAGCATGGCTGCATCCGCGGTCGCTGCCTGAACTTCTGCGCGACACGTTGGGTCGAACATGCGCATGCCGTACAGGCGCGGGCGCGATGGCACTGTGACAACGAGCGTGTGTCGAGAGCGCGGCAAATCCTCAGAGTATGGACCTTGCGGCTTGAGCGCTCTGACGTGCGGCGGTTCTGCCTGAGCCTGTTCTGCTTCGGATTGGTGAAGGCGCTCCACCATAAGCTCCTGGTAGCGCTGAATGAACTTTTCAGTCGGTCCGGTGAGCGACACACCCGTGTACAGATGCGCAGCATCGATCTGACCCGGTAGAGCCAGCGTGAGCGACCGATGGGTCAGCTGTGGCGGAGGATGCACGGCGGCCGCAGCCTCAGCCGACGGGTCGTTGATTGCCGGCACGTCAAGCGCACTGGTAGACGCCGCCTCCTTGGGATGGTCCTCTTGCTCTGCCTCGGAATGGTGGTGACGATGACGATGCAAGTAGCGCTGGTGAATTCGATGGCGCTTGTCGTGCATCTTGAGCTTCAGTCGCGTGATGCTAAAGATGGAATCAAGTCTTTCCGGCCCTGTTTTGAAGACACCATTGCCGGACGAGAGGATGCCGGCCGATGCCAGCGAGGCAAAGAGCGCAGCTGGAGCGCTGCTCTGCTGTTTAGGGGCCGAGCTGGCTTTGGCTTTGCTTGCAATCCGTGGATCCGCATCCGCGACACCGGCGGCCATTGCTGTGGAACCAGAGACACCTAGATCCGGGTCGCCGAGACTTTGTGCTCTGCGCTGAAGCGGTCCCGAGCGAGAGGAAGTGCGACGACGGCTGTTTGGCTGCCTGGCGTTCCCTGCAGACGATCTGGCGAGTTGACCCTCGCCTTGCACGTCTGGATTCCTCGACTCCGAGCCATCCGAATCGGTCATTCTTGGAGCGTTGCTGGAATTGCGATTCTCAGGACCGAAACCGGAAGATGAACGCCGAGAATCGATCGCGGCGCTCTCCTTCTTTCCCCGCGACACTAGCGACGCTTTCAGAGACCCCTGGGTCGCCTCGGGCCATGGCGTGAACAGCAACGATTCGGCCAGTATATTGTCGGGTCTGCTGCCGGGCTGTGTGACTGGCTGCGAGGAGGAGTCGGGCGCTGTTGTCGTCGGGGTGTCGGCGTTGACCTTGTCGATGAGGGAATTTTCCTGCCTCTGGTTCCAGAGCCCCGCCGTCGGTTCATCCAGACTGCCAGCGACAGGCAAGCTCTTTTGCGATGTCTTTGATCGGCCAGAGACAGACGGCTCAGTGGACAGCGGTTGGGGTGTCTGAACTCCCGCGGCTGCGTCACGTACTGGCATTTGTCGGTGAATTGAAATGAAAAAAAGCCAAATGTGACAAACGAATACAATAGATGGAGTGCGGGAGATTCCTGCTCGAGCTTTCATGCCCTAATTTTGCAATGGGACTGCGTACATGCATCCCGTGGTGTACTATCATGCAATCGTGGATTGTGGGTGAATGAGGTGCGCGCGGGGAGGGGGGGGGGAAAAAGGGAACAGATCAATAGAAAACCAACTGTTAACTGGGCGTATCCCGAATCGATTCCCTTTATTCTTCACTATATTCATTCGGAAACGATACAGTACTTTTGCATACATTTCATGCGCTTCTGTAGTGATTCCAGGGCAAGGTCGTAAAATCATCGCTCCCGTCACATTCAACATTGCCAAATAGCGTCGGCGGTTGTTCGCTTCCCCACCCTTTTCCCCCCTTTTTCGTTGAATGCACATCCATTTCACACACTTTCCTGTTCTTCTCCCCCAAAGCACAAGCAACGAATTAATTGGAGAGAATACCCCACTCTATCTTCCACGCCAAAGAATCCACTATGACTGATTCGTCGCGTCCATCCAAGTGCACGGTCAACTCGGCCGCGCCGTCGCCCCACCGCGTCGTGCCCCTGTAAGCCATCCCCGCCTTGCATCTTCTTGCCAGTGTCTGCGCAGCCGCCTCCCCCCCTCCCACAAGTCAAGAGCTCAAGCCGCACAAGATTTCAAACGAGCATCAAGTGGTCACGTCCATGTGTCTCTGCCACTTGACGCAAAGCCTTGCCCCCCACCCCCAACCGCCGACACGACGCCAGACCGGTATAAAGGGAGGCCCGAATCTCATCACGATGCTGGGCTTCGTTGAAGCAGGCTGCAGTCCGCTCCGTCGACCTACAACGAGAACACTTTGTATGGATGGCGCCATTGCACACTGACTTTTGACTTTTGGTGGTTTCTCATAGGACTCCTCCGCCAAAGATCTGCAATACAATCCTCGACCACATTGGCAACACGCCAATGGTCCGCCTGTCCAACATTATGGCCGCCGAGGGGCTCCAGTGCGAGCTGCTTGCCAAGTGCGAGTACTTTAACGCGGGCGGCTCCGTCAAGGACCGCATCGGCAAGCGTATGGTCGAAGACGCTGAAATCAGCGGTCGCCTCCAGCAAGGCCACACTGTCGTACGTTGATGATCATTGGTGTCGATGGAGGCGGCCTTGGAGTGTATTGGAGTTTATGGGGTGTTTTCGGCAGATTTTTGTGATTTTTTTTTTTTTTTTTTGCGCATGATTGGGCCTCACCTCGATGCTTTCACCATCTCAACCAGATCGAACCCACCTCTGGCAACACTGGCATTGGCCTCGCGCTGGCGTGCGCCATTAAGGGATACCGCGCCATCATCACGCTGCCCGAAAAGATGAGCCAGGAGAAGGTCAACGTCCTCCGCGCTCTTGGCGCTGAGATTGTCCGCACTCCTACTGAGGCTGCATGGGACGCCCCCGAGTCGCACATTGGCGTTGCTATGCGCCTCAACAAGGAAATCCCCAACTCGCACATCCTCAACCAGTACACCAACCCGGGCAACCCGCTCGCGCACTACGATGGCACTGCCGAGGAGATTTACAACCAATGCGACGGCAAGCTCGATGTGATTGTGATGGGCGCCGGCACCGGTGGCACGGTCACTGGCATTGCGCGCAAGCTCAAGGAGCGAATCCCGAACGTCAAGGTTGTTGGCGTCGACCCCGTCGGCTCCATCCTGGCCGAGCCCGAGTCGCTCAACGTCAACGCCAACCAGCCATACGCCGTCGAGGGCATTGGCTACGATTTCATCCCCACCGTCCTCGACCGCACCCTGGTTGACCGCTGGATCAAGACAACGGACAAGGAGTCGCTGCTCATGGCGCGTCGTCTGATTCGCGAGGAAGGCTTGCTCTGCGGTACAGCAACTGTTGTTGCAGTTGATGATGACGACGATGCAGCAGAATCGAAAAAACAAAATGGGCTTCCGAGAGACTCACCAATTTTGCAACATTGACCACAGGCGGCTCGTCCGGCACGGCTGTCGTGGCTGCCCTCCAAGTCGCCAAGGAGCTCGGACCTGGCCAACGCTGTGTTGTGCTTCTTCCCGACTCGACCCGCAACTACATGACCAAGTTCTTGAAGTATGTTGTTTATAGCGCGTGGAATACTCGGGCGGAGCGAAAACACCAAAACAAGCAAACAAACCCTCAAACAAGCCTTGACCCTGCAATGCGAATCCAACTCACGATGAATGCCTTACTTTTGTTTTTTGTTTTTGGCAGCGACGACTGGATGATTGAGCGTGGCTTCATGGAGCGCCAGACTGAAGATCCTCTTGGCAACGCCACGATTGCAGATCTGCATTTGCGCACTCCCATCACCATTTCGTCAGACGTCACCTGCGCAGCGGCTGTTGCCGTGCTTCGCGAGAATGGCATTGACAATCTGCCCGTTCTTCGCGCGGATGGCTCGGTGGCTGGCCTTGTCACTCTGGGCAACCTGCTTTCCCGTGTCTCGTCTGGCCAGGTGCGTTTTGTGGATGGTAGCAGCATGTTATGGGTCTTTTTGGTTGGCTTTTCGCTGACTTGCTTGTTTTTCACTGACTTTTTCTTGTTTGTCACTTGGGGGGGGGTATCGTCGAGTAGGTCAAGTCCACGGATCTCGCGTCGAAGGTCATGTTCAAGTTTTCCAAGAAGAAGGCGTACACTGAAATTACAGACGCCACTCCTCTCGCCACTCTGCGCAAGTTCTTTGACATTCACTCTGTCGCGTTTGTGACTGAAGGCGAAAACCGCAAGATTAAGAGCGTTGTCACCAAGATTGATCTTCTCAACTTCCTTGTCAAGCAGGGCAAGTGAGAGACAACTGGGTCTCTTTTTTACATTTTTGATTGGAATGGTGCGGACAAATACACGAGTTTTGGTCACTACAATCGTTATTCTTGACATTGAAAGACATGCGAAGGTGATGAGTGTCAGCACACCAACTCAAAGTTTCAGCAGAACTGGCTTGGAACGGGGGATCATGATGGTAAGCGAAATCGCTCATTACGATGGTGCTTCGAACCATGGCCTACTAGTAAGCGTTCCGAATGAGCGCAGCATGGATTGTTCATGTTTATCAGGGTTGGTGCTCTGAGATGCATGATTTTTCCGTTCTTTCGTTGCTGATTTCTGTTTCGTTCGTTTCCCTCTTTGCTCTCTTTGAAGTTCCTGACGTTTCATCCTGTGCATTTCTTCGGGTTTCCACTTTCGGATGTTGTGCAGTTTGCGCTAACGGGGACAGCATGGCGTCCCGATCGTCTTTGTCGTACTTGTTTCATATTGCGCGATCGGGCGACCGGCATGTGTTCACAAGCGCTTGTCGACGTGCTTTGACGGTCATCGACACTTGCTGGGTTTTGGTTGAGTGATTTATGTTTTTCTCAAGTTTTCTTTCAGTTGTTGTTGATGATGTTGTTGTGTGGTTGTTGTTGTTGTTTGGCTCATCGGTTCGACCATCCGTGTTGAGGCCGTAGCAAAAATGTGATGCGATGCGCCGTTTCACACAATGCCAACTGTGATGCCCCGCGCGGAGAGTCGAACGAAGGCCCAGCCAAGGACACCAACAAACACAAACAAAAATTCGCCGATTTCAAAAGGGTGACCAAAACAATTTACTCTATTTTTTGCTTTGTTTCTTTCTGTTTTGGGTTTGTTTTGGGTTTGTTTTTCGCCTCCCCCGCTTCTGCTTCTGCTTCTTCTCTTTTGCTTATTGGAAGCCCAACGGCGCATCAGCAGCAACCCCGCGCTTCTCTCCTTCGATTCTATCGTCTCTCCCCCCTTTTTTTGGAAGAGCAGAGCTACAACACTCTGGAATGAACGCAAGCGAGCGAAGAGATCAAACAAAAACAAAAAAAAAAAAAAAAAAACAAACAATACAGCCGGTTGTGTCCGTTCGTTGCGCCACCCTTCTTTCTTTTGCCGGTTTCTTGTTGTTTTGCCCCCCTCACTCACCCCTCCAAACTCACTCCACCTCCCGCGGCTCTGGTCATCGGATGCGTCCTGTTTTGCAGCAGGTCAAGCAGACAAAGTGATGGGGGCCGACGGGTCCAAACGGGCTCTACGACTGGCCTTGGAATCTTCAACGACAAACCAGATCTGGGGCAGATCTGCGTCGGTCGGAGTTTCTTGCTTCCCGCCTCTTTCTTGAGGGCGGATCACGTCGATTAAAAGAGTGCAAGTGATGAGGCAGCACTTGTGAGAGGGAGAGGGCTGGTCGGGAAAGGACAGCCGCGTTGCAGCGTTAGCGTCGGAGCTCGTCGGAGCTCGTCGGAATCGCGTCGGCCCATATACTTTCTCCCCCATCTCCCCCCAACAAAATGCGGAAAGCCATTCATCGCCCACACGATGGACTGTCAATTGCTCCAAAGATGCGAGCTCACTTCGAATGTCAATGTTTCTGATTCGCAGCGCGACCATCATCAAGATGACGCCCAAAGGATTTCCCCTGCTCCTGCTTCTGCTGTTCTGCGTGATCAATCGCGTCCAGCTGGCGCAAGCAGTCGATGCCTGTGGCACCAGCGGCGTGTGTACTTGCTCAGGAACTACTGTCAATTGCAACGGCAAATCTCTGACAACCATTCCAAGTGCAATCCCCGGCACCACGACGCAACTGTAAGCGTTGCCGTCGAGCTTGAATTAAAGCATCGCCCTCATTGACATACGGTCGATAGGTACCTGAACAACAACTCGATCACCATCATTTCCGCAAGCGCATTCGCAGGTCTGACTGCGCTGACTCGGCTGTAAGCAAGCAAAGATATGAACAATCACACTCAGGCGGCTCACTCGACTGCACCTCCATCTGAAGGGAGTTAAAAACCAATCAGATCACCAGCTTTCCCGCAGACACATTTATAGGCCTGACTTTTCTGAGGGAATTGTAAGCAAAGGCATGAAGAATCACACAAGCGGCGTGAGCTCACTCGTTTGCCATTACATCGGCAGGTTTCTGAACTACAATCAGATCACCAGCTTTCCCGCAGACACATTTATAGGCCTGACTTTTCTGAGGGAATTGTAAGCAAAGGCATGAAGAATAACACAAGCGGCGTGAGCTCACTCGTTTGCCATTACATCGGCAGGTTTCTGAACTACAACCAGATCACCAGCATTCCCACCTCTGCATTCGCAAGCCAGACTGCGTTGATACAATTGTAAGCCAGGCAAGACATGAAGAATCACACACATGCGGCTCACTGGTTTTGCTATTCTTCTGCATTTATAGGGATCTGCGTAGTAACCTGATCACCAGTTTTCCCGCAGACACATTTATCGGCCTGACTATGCTGAAAAATTTGTTCGTAAAGGCATGAAGAATCACTCAAGCGGCATGACCTCACTCATTTGCCATTCCATTGGCAGGTATATGGACTTCAACCAGTTCACTAGCATTCCCGCAAATACCTTCACTGGCCTGACCGCGCTGACGTTCTTGTAAGCAAGCAAAGACATGCTTAGTGAAGATGAGCTGGCAGCGATAATTGCTTAGTGGACATTAAGCAATCAGAGCTGACAGCGTAATCTTTACAACATGAAATGAGCTTTAGCGCAATTTTCATGTATAATCACACAGGCGACTCACTCGCTGCGACTATCTTAGGAGTCTGCACACCAACCAGATCGCCAGCATTCCCGCAAACACTTTCACTGGCCTGACCGCGCTGACGTTCTTGTAAGCAAGCAAAGACATGAGGAATCTCACATAAATGGCTCACTCATTGCGACTCTTTCTGTAGGGATCTAACCAACAATCAGATCACCAACACGTCCGTTGACGCTTTCACTGGCCTGACGGCGCTGACGCACTTGTGAGCAAGCAACGACATGAGGAATCTCCCACAGACGACTCACTCATTGCGACTGTTTCTGTAGGGATCTAACCGACAATCGTATCACCACCATTTCTGCAAGCACATTTTCAGGCCTGACTGCGCTCCGGCTCTTGTAAGCAAGCAACGACAGGAATCTCACATAAATGGCTCACTTGTTGGCGCTCTATCTACAGGAATCTCAATGGCAACCAGATTACCACCATTTCTGCAAACACATTTTCAGGCCTGACCACGCTGAATTACTTGTACGGCCGGAAAGACATGAAAACTGACAAATCACTCATTCATGGCGACTCCACCTGTAGATTTCTGACCACCAACCAGATTTCGAGCATTTCCACAAGCGCGTTCGCCGGCCTGACTGTTCTGACTGAGATGTAAGCAATAAAAAATCCCGACGAACCATGTATGTACTGTTTTCACAAAAGCTCACGCGTTCTTGGCGACTCCATCGATAGGTCCCTGAACAACAACTCGATCACCAGCATTTCTGCAAACACATTCGCAGTTCTGACTGCGCTGACGATCTTGTAAGCAAGCACAGACAAACATCATCACGCACAACCGACTCAGTGTGTTTCCATTCATTGGCAGGGATTTATCAGACAACCAGATCACCAGCATCCCAGCAGACGCATTCGCAAGCCTGACTGCGCTGGATACCTTGTAAGCAAGCAGCTGCATGAAGAATAGACCAACGGCTCACTCGTTCGCGACTTGCTATGTAGGAGTCTGAACGACAACCAGATCACCAGCATTCCCGCAAACGCATTCACAAGCCTGACTACGCTGCACCGCTTGTAAGGAAGGGCTCTCATTGCGTCTGTTTGATTCGCCGCTCACTTCAATTTCACTTAGGCCTTTGGAAAATAATCCCTTGACCACTTTGCCCCCTGGTCTGTTCAAGGGCCTGCCATATGGCTTGCTTTTGTCATCATCCTTTATGCCCAATCTGAGCCCCAACAACTTTACGTTTGGTGGGAATACTGTCGCTCCGCCCAGCACCTACGGCAGTGCAGCAACGCCGTACTGTAAGTTTCGAGATGACTGCAATTACCATCAAGCATTTCACTGACATGTGTACCGCAGCGTGTGACACAACCTGTGCCACGTGCTACGACTTTGGGTCCAGTGCGTGTTGCGGGATCAATTGTCTGACATGCAATTCGTCCCATCCCTGCACTCAGTGCTATGACGGTTATGGCATGCTGGGTGGATCTTGTGTTCCTCTTGCTTCCATTGCTTCGGTCGCTTCGGCTGCGTCCACGCAATCTGCCTCGGCACCCTCGATTGCCTCTGATATTTCCGCTGCCTGGGCGTCCGTTGCGACTGCATCTTCAGCTTCAATTGCATCTCAGGCATCCGCATCAGTCGCCAGTGCTTCTTCTGCATCTTTTGCATGGCAGACATCTGCTGCATCTGCTGCGTCCAATGCTCCAAACGAGTCAAGCGATGCATCCACTTTGCCCATCATTCTTGGAGTCGTCATTGGCGTGTTGGCGCTCTTCTTGTTGGCTGCGTTGTTTGTGGCCTTTCGGCGTCGTCGCTCGCCAACGGCGTTGGCAACCACCAGCACGGCCATCAAACTGCGCGAACTCACTTCCGGCTCCGGACCGACTGACCATTCTGCTGATCACAGTTCCATGGTGCTCAACGCTTTGCATCCAGCCAATGACATGGTGGCCGCCAATCCAACGTACAATACATTGTCTGCTACCAGCATCAACGGCTTGTACGAACATGTCAGCTCGCAGCCCCATGCTCCTGTGGATTCGTCCGAACTGTTGTATGCTGAAGCAGCAGCTTCTGGTGTCGAGTACGCCAACCCGTCGCTGCCCCATGCCTCGTCTTTTCGTGCGCCGCCCGCGTCCTCAGCAACCGCCTACGCGACGATTGCTGTCGTACCTTCCACGCAGACCGAGAATGTCGACTACACTTTGATTGAAAACTAGCATGGTTCGCCCGAGTTTGAATTTCCTGTCCTTGTCATGCAGCTCTTTCTGCCCTGCCATTCTCGCGCGTTTCGCTCTGATATCCGTTTGCTTCGATACCCGTTTCAGCATTTTCAACGGAAATACAATAGCACTCGAAATAGGATCGTGACGTCACGACATTGTTTTGTGTATTGTTTTTGGATGAGTCGTCTGTTTGGCCATCCCTGTTGGGCTTGAAGGAATGCGTCGTTTCTTTCACATGGGGCCAAACTGTGATGACTCGGGCGCACACAGAGTCGAGAAGCAGGCCAAGAAGGGATGAGCGAATGCATCATCAACACAATGGCGAATAGATCGCGATGGGTGGCCGGTCATTCTACTTTTGGTTGCGCCTTTTGTTTGTTCATTCTACTTTTGGTTTAGGCTTTTCGCACCTCTTTGTGGTTCAGCAAATGTAAGCCACTGCGCATCGCCAACCCCACGAATGAGCGACCTACTCTTCTCTTTCGATGATCTGGGTGCTTTTGAAAGAGTGGAGCTACGGCGCAAAGGCGCACACACGGGGTGTGTTGTCAACAAAGCAACAAAACAAAACAATACAATGACGTGTTCTGCATGCACGTCTGGCTCTTTCTGATTCCTCCTCACCCAGCCGCTCTGATCCTCAGATGGGCTCCCCCTTCTGTTGCAGCAAGTGAATCGAGTCGAGCAGTGGAAGTGACGGGCCTGAAGGAGCAGCGGGATTCGCATGGAACCCAACGTACAAAACAACAAACAAAACACACCAAAAACACCCCAACAAAAACAGCAACAACAACAAACCAATCCATCCGAATGCGGTCGTCCTCTCTCCGCCGCTCTGTCCCTCTTCGGGGGCGCAATCTGGCAACGAAAAAACAGTGAATACGATCAAGAAGCGCGCACTTGGGAGGGGAGAGTGAGTAGCGGCCGACGCGCTTCATCTCTGCCCAACAAATACCAAAAACTCATACAAGGCTCGACTTTGTCTGTCGTGACGAGCTGACTCTTTCAATGTCCCTTACAGATGACATCAAGCGGGTTTACCGTTTGTCAGCTGCTGCTGCTGCTGCTGCTGCTGTTCTGCGTGACACATCACTGCCAGATGGCGCAAGCAGACGAGGCTTGCAGTGTGTGCGACTGCTCGAACCCTACTACTGTCGATTGCACTGGCCGATCTCTCACAACCATTCCGAGCGGCATCCCAGTCGACACGACGAGCCTGTGAGTGTTGTTGCTGAGGTGAGTATGAATTGAAGCATTGCCCTCCTGATTGATATCCGGCCGACAGAAATCTGGGAGGCAACAGCATTCCCAGCATTGCCGCGCACGCATTCACAGGCCTGACCGCACTGACACATATGTAAGTGAGCCACGGCGTGGAGAATCACACTCAAATGACTCACTTGATGACGACTCTGTCTGTAGGGATCTGAGCGGCAACCAGCAGCTCACCAGCATATCCGAAACGCATTCACAGGCCTGACGGCGCTGACTTACCTGTAAGGAAAGCAACTATTGGCAGAATCTCACATACAAGTGTCTCAACTCCTTTTGTAGATCTCTGTTCAACAGCCAGGTCACCAGTATTCCAGCAAACACTTTCGACGACCTCACTGCACTCAATTTCTTGTACGCAAGCAACGACAAGAAGAATTGCACAAAAAACCGCTCACTCGTTTGCGACTCATTCTGAAGGAGCCTAGGCGGCAACCAGATCACCAGCATTCCAGACAACGCATTCACCAGCCTGACTGCGCTGAAGCAATTGTACGCAAGCCATGAAAAATGATGAATCAGGCACCAACAACTAACTCGTTTACGACTCCATCAAAAGGCATCTATACGTCAACCAGTTTACCAATATTCCCGAAAACACATTCACAGGCCTGACTGAGCTGACAGACTTGTAGGCGAGCAAATACTGAAGGATTCACACACGCAAAAAATTCTGACTCGTTCGTGCACGTTTCCATTTGTAGAACTCTATACGGCAACCAGCTCACCGAAATTTCCGCAACCACATTCGCAGGCCTCACCTCGCTGATGTACTTGTAAGCAAGCAACGACAGGAAGAATCACACAACGCAGCTCATTCGTTTGCAATTCTATCCGCAGAGCACTTTCGAACAACCAAATCACCAGCGTTTCTGCAAACCTATTTGCAGGCCTCACCGCGCTGACACATTTGTAAGTGAGCAAAGACGTGAACAATCGAACGAATTGCTCACTCGTTTGCGACGCTGCTGTATTGGTAGATTTCTGCATGGCAACCAGATCACCAGCATTCCCGCAGACGCATTCACAGGCCTGACTGAGCTGACTCACTTGTAAGCAAGCACTCTTATTGTGGGCATTCGATTCGTCTCCGACTTTGTGGTGCTTTCAGGTTTTTGGATGGCAATCCCTTCACCACCTTGCCGCCCGGTCTGTTTATGGGCTTGCCCAATGGGTTGTATTTGTCGAGCCCGTGGCTCCAATCGCTGCAACCCAACAACTTTACCTTTGGAGGGAACACTGTCGCCCCGCCCAGCACATACGGCGATGTATCCGCACCATACCGTAAGTTTGAGTGTCATGTCACTGAAAGTTATGCTACAGAGTGTGACACAGCTTGTGCCACCTGCTTTGCCGCTGGGTCCGGCTCGTGCTGCCCGAGCAATTGTCTGTTCTGCACTTCATCCACTGTGTGCACTCAGTGCTATGAAGGTTATGGCATGCTGAGTGGATCATGCGTTCCACTTGTGTCCATCGCATCTGCTTCCGTCGCTTCCGTCGCTTCCGTCGCTTCCGTCGCTTCCATTGTTTCAGTCGCGTCCACGCATTCTGCTTCGGTTGCGTCTCTAACTTCCGCTGCCTCAGCGCACTCGGCTTCGTTTGCTTCCCTCGCTAGTGTATCATCAACCTCAATTGCCTCGCATGCATCCACGTCAGCTGCCAGTGCTTCTTCTTCATCTTTTGCATGGCAGACATCGGCTGCATCTGCTGCGTCCAATGTTCCAAAGGAATCAAGTGATGCGTCCACTTTGCCCATCATTCTTGGAGTCGTCATTGGCGTGCTAGCTCTCTTCTTGTTGGCTGCGCTGTTTGTGGCCTTCCGACGTCGTCGCTCGCCAACCGCGTTGGCAACCACCAGCACGGCCACCAAATTACGCCAATCACCATCCGGCTCCGAACCGACTTACCAGTCGGCTGATCGCATCGACTCGGGGACCAACGTTTTGAATCCAACCTATGAAGTGTTGTCTGCTCCTGGCAAGAACGCCCTGTACGAGGATGTTGGCTCGACGCCCCAGGCTTTTGCTGATTCGTCGGAACTGCTGTATGCTGAAGCAACTGCCTCCACTGTCGAGTACGCCAACCCGTCGCTGCCCCATGCCTCGTCTGTTCGTGCGCCGCCCCCGTCCTCAGCAACCGCCTACGCGACGATTGCTGTCCTACCTTCCACGCAGACCGGGAGCGTCGACTACGCGTTGATCGAAAACTAGCATTATTCACCCGAGTCTGCAACTCTTTTGCCCTGCCATTCTCGCACAATTTGCTCTGATATCCGTTTGTTTCGATGCCCGCTTCAGCATTTTCAACTGAAATACACGCTCAATTGGCTTCACGGCTTTTCTTTTTGAATCGATTTTTTCGAATGCTACTTGGCAGCTTTGTTGATGCGTTGTTTGTCACGCAACGCCCACTTCTCCTGCGTTGTCTTTATCTGAGAAAGGGTTCCATGCTGAGAGACAACAGTGCGTGGTTTGTTCAAAATGCAAGGCATGAACAGTCTGTATTGTGTTTTTTCTTTCTTCTTTTGTCGAATGTCGCACAGCCAAGACCGCCAAGACCGCCAAGAGATTTCTGTTCGGCGACCAGCTGCAGACCGTTCTCCGAGCGAAGTCCAGTGGAGCAACTGCCGCCGGTTGCGGTCGGGCGAGAAAGGCTGCAGGCCGAGATTGCCCGATTGAACACAACACTGGCGGAAAGCCGCGAACGTGTGCGACAGTACGAGGACCTTGCAACGGCTGCACGCGATGCAGAAAATGTCGCACAGGAGCAGCAGCATGCGAATCAAGCGCAGAGCTGGCTGGCAACTATTGCCCCACGACTCAACTTTTGCTTGCCAGGGCAAATGCTCGACCAGGTATGTCAGCCTTGTCCAGTTCTTGGTCTTGCACATGGAGCCTCATTATCAATGTGTTTGCGCGTCTTTGTTGTCAACCGAATGACAGATCATCAAGCACTTGTAGCTCTTCAAGAAGAAAATCGGCGACTTGCAGAAGAAAATCGACGGCTTACGATCCAACTTACGATCCAACTTCAAGGCGAGCTTCCGTGTGAGTATTGTTCTCTCTGTTTGGAGGTTTCGAGACTGAGAGCAGCACTGCTTGCTCACATTGTGACCCCCCGGTTGGTAGTGGATGAGGACGACGAGCTGGCCAGATTTTGGCGCGCGCTTCATCGTGGCGAGGTGAACGAGCAGCGACTCGAACTCGAGAGTGTCAGCGTACTGTTCCTAGTTCTTCCTGCAAACGTGTTCTGGCTGGGCGATCCTAATTTGGGTTCCGTCCTCATGGTTCGCGAGAGCTACGAAGGACTCTTCGACGTGATCACCGACGCTGCAAACGCGCTTTGGACGAACTGGATTGTCACTGGCAACCCTGGCATCGGCAAGACAGCCTTCTCGGCGTACTTTTTGTACCGCATCTTTCGGCAGAACAGGGAAAACAATGTTTCGTTGCCGTTTGTCTATGAGCCGGCTGCTACGGGAAGGTACCAAGAGCGGCGTTATCTTTTGCGTGCCGATGGGTCTGCTTCTTACAGCCACCATGGTGTTAAGGACACTCTCCGCAACGGACAAGTCTGGCTCATTGTAGATGCCAATCCCCCACGTCGCTACGGCTCCGCTAAAGTTCTGCTCGTCACAAACCCGTTTCGCCCAATTTACAAGGAGCTTGAAAAGGACGGCGGTTTTGTGCTGTTCATGCCAGTGTGGTCAGAACTCGAGATCGAGGCTTACTTGCAACGGTTTGCAACAACCATGGCTACACGGGAGGCCGGCGCGTACTTGCAGTCTGCCAGAAGTGTGTTTTTGTGCTGGGGTGGCATCGCGCGTGAGGTACTGCATCCAAAGCTTGGCGGTCGTCAACGTATCCAGGACGCCATTGCTGGATGCGTCTTTCAAAAGGTCATCAACTCTGACGTCGAAAACCTGGCAAGTGAGGCATCTTGCATCGTGTGCTCTATATCGACGTGCTGCCCCTCGATCCCAACCGGCCTGTTGATGAGTGCGGCAGGCGTATTCTACCCTATTCGCGTTACCGCCTGAGGTTTGCCTCCAAATGGGTTAGCGAGCAAGTTTTTCGAAAGTTCCGGACCGAGGAGAGAGATCGACTTCGGCGCTTTCTCAGCGCTGCGGCGGACAACCCAGAGCACGCATCGCTCCGTGGGCAGCTTTTTGAGGAGTACGCGTCCAATTTTCTTCAGACAGGTGGCACATTCCCTAGACGTCATCTTGAAACAGGCGTCAGTGACGAGTTGCGGTTGCCGCGGCTCACTTGCATCAATTTCCGCCAGTTGACTGAGATTGATCTCAGCATACCCGACCGCTACTACAATCCGATCACTCGTAATTTGGCAGCTGTTGACGCCATTATTTCTCCGAATGTCTTTCTGCAGATGACTGTCAGCCGATCGCACCCCGTCAAATCGGAAGGCTTTCTGCAGGCAATCTCTCTCATGCCGCAACAAGAGGGTCCCGCGGTGCTCTATTTTGTGGTGCCCAGTAACATTTACCCGACGTTTCCGCGCCAGACGGATGGTCGTATGCTCGGGACACGGCCAGCTGAGGTTGACGCAGCTCAGCAATTTGCCCTGTGCGTTAACATCGATCTGTTGTAAACAGTTGGACGAGATCATGCTTCGTGGCTTTCAACAAAACCTCAATACAAGCAAAAGTGCAAAATGACCATTCTTGTCGGGCGTGGCGCGGGGTTGTAGCGACGCGACGTGACGCGATGCGCAAGCTTCACATGCAGGCTCAACCATGATGCTCGCGCACAGAGTCGAAAGCAGAGTCCGGCAAGGACGACCCAATCACAGAATCGGCCGACAATCGCCATTGGATCGGTGCATGGAGTCACTCTTTTTTTTTTTTTTTTTTTGTTTTTCTTTGATTCACGCCTTCCTTTTGCTTTTGTCATTCTTGTTTTGTCAATGGTAAGCCGACGCGCAACATCAAACTCTAGCAAGCAATCCTCGCTTCCCTGTCGACTTTCTCGCTTTCTTTTGGAAGAATGGAGCTACAACACAGAAGCAAGCATTCATGGGAACGAACCCAGCAACGAGATCAAAATGCTGGTTGTGTCCGTGCACTACTTTTCACCGACCTGTACGGTGTCCTCTACTCCCGCTCCACCCCGCTGCACTGACTATCGGACGTGCCTTGCTCGTAGCAGTTCAACTGAATCAAGCAGACGAAGTGAACGGCGACTTGAGCACCCGGTCCTGAGACTGGGTTTGAGACAAAAAACCCAAAACAACCAAAAAAGCACAACAAAACAACAACAAAAAACAACAAACAAAAAACACAAAAACAAAAACAAATGATCACAAACCAACACCTCGACAGATCTGCCAGCAACAAACAACGTCGGTTGAGCTGATGCGTCGTTTCTCTCATTTTCCCCCGCCCCTTCTATGGCTCTCGTGAAGGCGCATGTTTTCAATGAAGGCAGCGGAAGTGGTCAGGAAGCGTGCGTGGGAGAGGAGGCGAGGCGGGCAGGAACAAAAAAAACACAAAAACAAAAAAAACAACGACCCAGCACTTGTGCCTGAGTCATCGCTCTCCGCACAACTCCAGCACTGTGTCGCTGCTGCGGGGCGAGTGCGGGCGAGTGCGGGCGAGTATGGTTGAGCTGCTGCGAGTCTCACTTTGTACTGCAAATGTCTCTGATTGGCCCACGAAAGATGCCACCAAAAGGATTTGCCTTTGGTCTGCTGCTCCTGCTGTTCTGCGTGACACAACACGGCCAGATGGCGCAAGCAGTCGATGCCTGTGGCACCAGCGGCGTGTGCGACTGCTCGGGAACTATTGTCGCTTGCATGAGCAAATCTCTCTCGACCATTCCAAGCGGCATCCCAGTCACCACAACGAGCCTGTGAGTGTTTTTGTCAAGTTGAGTCGGCATTGATGCGCCAAGCATTTTTTTCCCCCCTGTTAATAATTGGCATGCCCGCGATAGGTCGCTGTCCATCAACCAGATCACCAGCATTCCCGCCTCTGCATTCGCAAACTTGACTGCGCTGACTGAACTGTAAGCAAGCAACGGCCTGAAAATCCAGACAGAAACGGCTCACCCTTTTGCGACTCTGCCTGTAGGGATCTGACCGTCAACCAGATCACTGACATTTCTGCAAACGCTTTCGCAGGCCTGGCTGCGTTGACTATGCTGTAAGCAAGCAACGACATGAAGAATCATACACATTTCTCATTCGGTGATGATTCTCTGTAGGTTTCTACCCGGCAACAACATCACCGGCATTCCCGCAAACGTATTCGCAGGCTTGACTGCGCTGCTAGTCTTGTAAGCCAGCAACGACACAAAGAAGCACACACATACACACGCCTCACTCGTTTGCGACTCCGTTTGTAGGAATCTATCCGGCAATCAGCTCGCAAGCATTCCCGCAGACGCATTCACAGGCCTGACTGCGCTGCAAACTTTGTAAGCCAGCAACGACACAAAGAAGCACACACATACACACGCCTCACTCGTTTGCGACTCCGTCTGTAGAAATTTGCAATCCAACCAGATCACCAGCATTTCTGCGGCAGGATTCGCGGATCTTGCTGCGCTAAAGTCCTTGTAAGCAAGCAAAGACAGGACGAATCTTGTATCAACGGCTCACTCGTTGGTGACTCCATTTATAGAGGGCTATCGGGCAACCGCCTTGGCAGCAATCTCGCGAATGCGTTCACAAACCAGTCTGCCCTTGGGTTCATGTGAGCAACGCAACGATAAGAAGAAGAATTGCACTCGAACGACTCACTCGTTGATAACTATCCGTAGAGACCTATCCAACAATCAAATTACCAGCCTGTTGGCAGACGCATTCACAGGCTTAGCGGCGTTGAATACCTTGTACGCGAGCAAACGCCATGACGCATCACACATACATGGCTCACTCGTTTGCGAGTTGTACCTGCAGGTTTCTATCCAACAACAACATCACCAGCATTCCCGCAAATGCAGTCACAGGCCTGACTGCGCTGAAATACTTGTAAGCAAGCACACACACGGAAAGAATCACAGACAACAAACAGACCAACACCCTCCCGTTTGGAACTGGAACTCTCGCTGTAGGGACGTATCTGGCAATCAGTTCACCAGCTTTCCAGCCTCTTCCTTTGCAGGCCTGACTGCGCTGACTTACTTGTAAGCAAGCAAGGTCATGTAGAATCACGCAGAAACGGCTCACTTACTCGGTTGAGACTCCCTCTATAGGTCTCTGTCCAACAACCAGGCCACCAGCATTTCCGCCTGGGCATTCACAGGCCTGACTGCTCTGACAAGTTTGTAAGCGATAAAGAAATGGCCATGGAGAAGCACACTTTAGTCAATTTCGACTCTGTCTGTAGGCAGCTATCCAACAACCAGTTTACCGACATTTCTGCAAACGCATTCGCAGGCCTGCCTGCCCTGATGGAATTGTAAGCAAAGCAAAGAAATGAAGAATCGCAGAGAAATGACTCATTCGGTGGCAACTTTCTCTGTAGGGGTCTGGCAGGCAACCAGCTCACCAGCATTCCCACCTCTGCATTGTTGGACCTAACTTTACTGAATTTCCTGTACGTAATCCAAGACATGACGAATCGCACAACAAACGGCTCACTTGCTGGCGGCACTATCGATAGATCTCTAAGCGCCAACCAGATCACCAGCATTCCTGCCTCTGCATTCACAGGCCTGACTGCGTTGTTTTCCTTGTAAGCACTCACAGACAGGAAGAATCAACAGACAAATGGCTCACGCTTTGGTGACTGTCTCTGTCAGGATTTTATCCCGCAACCAGCTCACCAGCATTCCCGCCGCTGCATTCTCAGGCCTAACTTTGCTGAATATCTTGTACGCAAGACCTCGCAGCATTGCCCTTTCGGTTGATTCGCCTCTCTCACGTCAAGTTACTCGTTTTTTTTTTTTAGGAGTTTGGATACCAATCCCTTTACCACTCTGCCGCCCGGACTGTTTCAGGGCTTACCAAATGACATCGATTTGTCGTTGTATTACGAGTCTCTAAGCCCCAACAACTTTAGCTTTGGTGAGAACACTGTCGCTCCGCCCAGCACATACGGCAGCGCAGACGAACCGTACCGTAAGTTTGAGAGTTTGAGGTGACTGCAAATTCCCGGGACATTCATTTCACTGATACCTTGTACGGCAGCATGTGATACATCCTGTGCCACCTGCTATGACGCTGGGTCTGGTGCGTGTTGCGGAGCCAAGTGTCTGATCTGCACCTCCTCCACAACGTGTGCTCAGTGCTATGAAGGTTATGGCATGCTGAACGGCTCATGTGTTACACTCGCCTCCATCGCTTCTGCTGCGAGTGCGTCGTCCGCCTGGCACACCTCTGCTGCTTCTGCAGCCTCAAACGCTCCGAACAATACCAGCGATGACCCATCGCCCCTCCCCATCATTCTCGGTGCCATTGGCGGCCTGCTGGTTTTGTTGTTGTTGGCTGCGCTGTTTGTGGTTCTTCGACGCCGTCAAGGACGCAAGCCAACACCTGGTTCCGATCGGGCTCGCCAGTCGGTGGATCACGTCGGCGTGGTGAATCTCACGTACAACGCTTTGCTCACAAACAGCGGCGACAATGGCTTGTACGAGCAGGTTGATTCAAAGCCCCAGGCTCCTACGGGTTCGTCGGAACTGCTGTATGCCGAGGCATCTGTGCCTGCATACAGCACAGTGAAAGCCACGGGTAGCAGTGGTATCGAGTACGCCGATCCGTCGCTGCCCGATGCGTCTTCTGTTCGTGTGTCGAGCGCGTCTGCTCCAACCACTTACGCGACGGTCGTGGTTGTGCCTTCCACGCAGACCGAGAATGGCGACTATGCGTCTATCGCAAACTAACAAACGGGTGTCGGCTGCCATTGTTGCTGCTTCGTGCATCCTAGTCTCGTTCACAAAGTAGTCCCAACTTCAAGGTTCGGTTGGACAAAGATGTGGGCGAATACACGAGTTTTGGTGCAAAAATTGTTGTTGGTGTTGTGTGACATCCAAAAGTCATGCGAAGATGATGCACGCCAGCAAAAAAACCCCCGCAAAACATTTCATTTCAGCTTGCATGCGACAAAAAACTAGCCTGCACGTGCTCTTAGACGACGAACGAGAAACGGATGAACTGCAAGGCAAAGCCAAAATACAAAAAACCCAACCCAAAGCAAAAGTGAGAAACAAACTACTGGCGAACGTCCCAAGAGCGTCAATCCGTCGTTCATTGCTTGCTGCGCGCTCACCTCGTCATAGGACAACATGGCAGTGCCGTTCTGGTGAGTGTCACGGCGGCGGAAGTTCTCCGACAGGCATCGCAGGCGAACCGAGACGGCAATAAAGTCATCGAAGGTGATGATGGTCTGTTCGCGGCGAGCATAGCGCTTGAAGACGACGCGGAATGCCTCGGGGCTGAGGTTGTAGCCTAAAAATTGGAGTTTTGGTGCAGAGCAGTGAGAGGGGCAGAAAGTGAGTTTGAATTGGTTGCTGGTTGTTGTGGGTGGAGCAGCAACACCAGTCAAGACCAGGAGTGGGGCAATACCGTAAGTGCGAATGGCCTGGTGCAGCTCCTGCTCGTTCACAGTGCCGCTGCGGTCGCGATCAACAGTGTAATAAGTGTGCTTCCACTGGTTGAGCGAGTTCCAGAGCTCCTTGAATTCCTCAAAGCCCATCTGCAAGCAAGCAGCAAGACGGAGTGCGCAATCTTCAAAGTGAGTCACCATACGACTGCGCGACGTGTTGAGGCAAAGATTCTTGAGTGGTGAAAATTGGTATGTTTGTTCTGACCTGGAAGTTGCCGTCGCGGTCGAGCATTCCGATCATGAGGCGGCAAGTCTCGAGGCTGCAAAGATTTCAGAGTAACGTCAAAGTGCCAACCGAACCGAAGCGTGACGACACAAAGACCAAGACGTGCGCAAATTGAAAAAAAAAAAAAATCAAAATCGAAATTTGGATGTGAACAAGAATGTGAGTAACGTCGATATCACCAACAGCTCCAAGGCAGCTCCTTGAAGCTACATAGGTTGACTGCCCCCCCCCCTCCCCAAACTTACCTGAATGTTTCCCAGCCGTTGCCGTAGCCAGCGCCCTGGAGGCATCGCTGGAGCTCCTCGGGAGAAATCTGGCCGTCACGACCAGCGACCGCCGAAAAGTAGCCAAACAGCGGGTCGACTGCCGGAGGGTAACCGTAACCAGTGCCTTGCATTTGTTGTTTGTGTGTGTGTGTATGGATGATTGAAGAAACGGGGTTCAAAGAACACGATGAGTGGATTGAAAATCGAAAACAGAAAGAAAAAAGAAAAAGGAGTGAAAAATTCGAACTGTAAAAAATGTAAAAAACTGGGACTTTTGCTCGTCCTTTTCTGAATGTTCGGTCTCTGCTCAAAACGCCTTGCAAATGTCAAAACGATATATATACAATGTATGCAAAATCGCATGGAAGGGCGAGAGGATGAAAAGAAAGGAAGTGGGTTGGCGATCTGACCGACCACCCAGATTTGGAACCAGTGACGTAGACACAATAAATATAAGAAGAAAACCGGGGGAAAGTGGGGTCTCTACGAAAGAGTTCACTAACAAAGAATGCTCAGAGTACCAAATGCTTGCTTCCATATTTGAACCAACAATCAACAAAATTGTGTCTTTCCTTCTCGTTCACCAACACTGAAGCGCCAACGAACGAACGAACGAACGAGGGCAGTGCAACTCTGAGGCGTTCACAAACCAGCAAGTTGCGTGGTGGTGGGAGAGCGTGATGACGAAGACGCCACAGTCGGGGAGTGGATGAATGGACCGACCGATTGGCAAATTTGAGCGAAGAGCAATGCAGATTGGTAGATTGATGGATGCCTCAGTGTGGGAGAGTGAGTGAGGCGGAGTGCGTTTTTGTGTTACCAGGTGCGCCGTAGCCAGCAGAAGGAGCGCCGTAGCCGCCGGGAGCGCCGGGGTAGCCGCCTTGAGGAGGGAACTGCAGCGAGGGGCAGCAAACAGTGAGCAAAAAACGGTTGTGCGATTTTGAAATGGGAGACGGGGGGTTGGTAGTCGGGGAGGTCCCTCTGCTTGTCATGCGATCTAGCTGCTTTTGCAGAGTGCGAGAGAGAAAGAGAGGGGGTGCGGGGAGAGAAAGCGAAGGCAAGGAATGGGCGATCGTACATAAGCCATTGTCTTTGAACGGTTTGGAACAAATAAGGACTAAACTTTGTGCAAAGACTCGTTCTGAGTCGCTTATTCCGTGTTGGTACAAACTCAATCATTTGAATTTGCGAGCGAAACCATTCGAAATGCGGGCGGGCTGAACGCACAGTGCAGTGATTCAAGCCTGCTCGACAGAATCCTCACTCATTCTGTCAGTCTCAGATGCTTTCCGTACTCCATCAATCTAAAACAACAGCAAACGACTCAAAAACCCAGTTTTTGCTTTGATGAAAAAGAAAGGTGCGCGGCACTTTTCTTTCTCTCTCTCTTTGTTTTTTGATTATCAACATCAACATAAAATCATCATGAAACAACAAACATCATCCTTTTGTTGTTGTTGTTGCTCCAACACCGCCTGCCTGACGTTTTACTTGGGACGAACGACCACCGTCACAAACTTGCCGTTGCTGGAAGACGAGACGGGCGACAGGAAGATGTGGTTGGTGGAGCTCGTCATCTTGACAACGTTTGCGGGAGTAATGTCCACAGTGTAGCCGTTGACATAGTGGACGCTCTCGGCCACGAAAATGTCGGTGGGGAGCGTGCAGGTGGTGTCGACCGTGTACTCGAGAACAAAGACGGCCGTGGCGGCAGCAAAGTGGAAGCTCGTGGTGGTTCCGGCGACAGCGTGCGGGTAGGAGCGCGCCAAGACCTTGATCAGCGGCCAGTTGTAGGTGCCGTTCGCAAACCAGATCGAGTTGCCGTAGCCAGTCATGGGAATGTACTGCTTGTACTCCCAGCCAATCCAGCTGGAAAAGTATTGGTCGGCCACATCCATGGTGGTGGTCATCTTGGTGCTGGCGTCGGTCGAAGCGGAGGGGTCAATGTTAAACTCGGTGAGGGCCATGCCCGTGCCCAGGTGGCGTGCGTCGGTTGCGCGAGAGAAGAACTGCTCTGCCGGGGACACGTTGGGCGGGTAGTAGTAGTGGAAGCTCACGACCGAGCGGTTGGCAAACGCGGCGCCGCCGGGCGCGTGCTCAAAGCCCATCGGCACAAAGTCGTCCCACGTGGTCGACTCAAACCAAATGAGGCAGTCGGGGTCTTGGGCGCGGATGACAGAGTTGAGGTTGTCGTAGAAGGGCTGCAGGTTGCGACGATCGGCCACGCCGGGCACCATCAGCTCAGGATCCTTGTAGAGGTTTCCAGCAAACGGCTCGTTCAGCAGTTCGTAGCCAAGCAGGTTGGTCTGGTTTTTGAAGCGCTGCACGACACGATTCCAGTGGGTGCTAAAGCCGTAGTTGGCGTGGCTGCCAACATTGTACAGGTTTTGGTAGGCATCCGCGCTCGCCGCCGAGAACTGGTAGTCGGACCAGCTCAGTTTGGCGCAGTCCGCAGGCGAGGGCAGGCCCGTCGTGGGGTCGATGGCGTACGGCTCGGCAAACGGCAGCGGGAAGGCAGGAGTCAGGGGATCGACCTGCACGGCCCACCACGGCGCGCCCTCACCGCAGAGCTTTTCCGAGAAGCAGTCTAGGATGGGAGAGGGGGGGGGGAAGGGAAGAAGGTGGGGGGGGGTGTGGGAATAGAAGAAGAAAAAGCAAAAGAGACGACAAAGCGTTAGCAGAATGCAATGGAATGGAATGACCAACAAACAGTCTGGCTGCCAAAGTACAGCCATAATCATCCCTACGTACCTTGGTGCACTTCAACAAGAGCATACATGTTGCTGGCAGCAGCCATATCGAGGATGCGCTGCATCTGATCGAGGTAGGTTTCGTTAAAGACGCCGTCCTGCGGCATGACGCCCGGCCACATGACGCCAAGGCTGCGACACACAGACATATTGATGATTCACAACGATGAGTATCAGATTTGCAGGAAGAAAAAAAAAAGGGGGGGGGGAAAACTGCGTTCCTGCTTGCTCAGACGCTTTGGAATTGGTTTTTCCCTCGACACCACTTTTCCCTGTTTCCCCTCAACCACCGCCGCGCTTTCTTGTTTCTGTGCTCGTAGCCCTGTGGGCTGTTTTCCATGTTCGAAAGCTGACCAACGAGCCAAACCCCTTGTGCAATCTCGTGCACAATTGCTGTTTCCGCGTGGTTTTCTTCCCAACCACGACGACGAGCGCATCCTCCACGATGAAGAGCGCCATCACAGGGTCCAGCATTTCCTTCGTTTAGCCATGCGCCACAATTTGGGCATGATGATGGGGGAGGATACCCCGTGGCTGGCATATGGCTTGCACAATCAGCAACAACAACAACAAACAAGGGCGGCTGTTTACCGAATGGCGTTGAGACCAAAGCTGGTGAGCGCATCGACGTCCTGCTGCGAGAAGCTCAAGTACGGATCGAACGAGTCGATGATTGGGATGTACGGCGGACCCTGTGATGCGAGAGGGGCATTGCAGTGAGACGAGAAATGGCCGATGTCAAGCCATCTGATGAGCCGACGGGCGGTTTCCCACCCCTGAACGTAAAGAGAGCCACTGCTCTGAATGCTCACCTTGAAGACGACGTTGAGACCGTGGAAGTAGCGCTCGCGGCCATCCGAGTCGGCGAGGCGGCTGTTTGCGTTGAGGTGGAGACGGAGCGGCGCAGCGGCAGCAACGCTGAGCACTGCGACTGCCGCGACGATAACGACGACCGACGCGCGCATGATAAAAAGAAAAAAAAAGAATGAATGAATGAATGAATCAAGTGAAGTCCATGGATTGAGAATGGAGTGCGGATTGAATGCATGAAATGGGAAACCACAATGCATTTTTCATAGAGATTGATCAATGCTCTCAAAGCGCCTGGTGTTTTCCTCCTTTTACTCTCTGCTTTTGGACCAGTTGTTCATTTTGTGATGCTCTTGTGAAATGACTGTCTGACATTGATGATGGATTGACTTGGCTGAGGATGATGGATTGACTGATTCAGACTGATGGTTCAGTCTCGCTTTTTTTTTTTTTTTTTGAATAATGTACGAATCCATCGTGCGCCCTGCGGCGTCGTGGCTGAGCGGTGCTGCGGCCGTGCTCGCGCTTGCATTTGGCCTGATCAGCACGCACGTCATGCTTGCCATGATTGTGTCGTACGTGTACGTCGTGAGCCCCTTCACTGGCGGCCAGGGCGACGGCGGAGTTTCCATGGACCACGACAACCCGCTCTTCCTCAACACACACCCGCTCTGCATGGTCCTCGCCTTCTGCTTCTTCATGCCCGAAGGTAAACAAGCAACATCACCACACTCACGCTTTGAAATCGTTGGAGCTTTTTGATTGGAGTTGAGTTTTGAATGAGTAAGAAAAAAAAAAAAAAGAATCAAAAAAAGAATCAAAAAAACCGCCAAAATTTAAAAAATCCAATCGAAAACCATAGAAAAAAAAATATAAATAAAAATAATCTTCAGAATCAATCAATCAAAACAACAACAACAACAACAACAAAAAAAGCGAAAAAAACTCACAGCAATAGTGAAAAATCACTCAAACACGGGCGAGACTGAGAAAGCGAAAGAGAGACACGAAATGATAGAAAAGTCACAGAGGGAGAGAGAGAGAGAGGCAGAAGAAGCAAAAAGGGGAATCGCGGAGACTTTTTTCGTTGCTTGATTTTTGATCCCTTTTCGCTCGCTTTTTTCTCGCTTTCTCTCTTTCAAACCACGCTCTTCTTGTGGTCTTCATTCGCTACTGATGATCGCTTTTTTTTTTGGGGTCGCAATCCTTACTGTTGCTCTGCTCTTTCGCGTGTACTTGCTTTCCTCCTTCTTGCTTTGTCTCGTGATTTCTTTTTTCTTTTCTTTTTGTTGGTTTGCTTTTTATGGTGGTTGCGTGTAGCCCTTTGCATTGCCTTTTATCATTGCCCGCCAATCACAAGAAGTGAGCGCAGGAAATGCGAAACAAAAAAAGCAGAAGAAGAGACAAAGACATCTGAAAAGGTGAAATGGAACGAGAAAGAGAATGAAGCAAAAACAGTTGAACCAGACAACCGAGGTAGCAAAGAGAAAGAGAGAGAGAAAGAGAGAATCAAAATGTGGAGCGGAGTCGGAGGCGAAAAAGAACAAGCTCTTGCTCTCCTTTCTGCTCTTGATCAAGAGCGGGGGGTCACTGTAGCACACCGATTCATGAAGAGACAACGACACAAAACAAAAGCGTGACAAACAACAGCAACAACAACGAGCCGACAGACCACATTCGAGGGGCTTTGCGACTCGGTTGTTTTTGTGTTTTTGGCGGGAAATGATGGGTCTGATTTTCTCCACCGCTCCCACTTTACAACACGAGCTTGGTCGCTTCCCATGACTCATCCCCCTCATTGCCGTCTCTTTGGATGTCTGTCATTTTGACCGCAGCTGCCCTCGTCTACCGCTGGCTGCCCGCTGAGCGCCCCACCAAAAAGTACGTCCACGCCGCCCTCCACTCGGCCGCGTTGATCTCGTCCAGCATTGGCTGGTATGTCAAGTGGTACGACGACGAGTACACTACCGGCCACGTGCACTTTGGCCGCATGCACTCGCACTTTGGCCTCATCGCCCTCATCCTGTTCTACGGCCAGTACCTTGCCGGATTTGGCATGTACCTCTTCCCTGGCGCACCCCTTGACGATCGCCCACTGTACTCGCCCTACCACAAGTTTGTCGGTGTCCTGACCATCTCGCTCGGCGCCATCGCTGCCGGCACTGGCGCGCTCTACATCCAGGCCGCCTACGCCGAGAACGTTGCCATCAACGACGACAACCAGTACTACACCATCTGGCTTGGTCTCATTGCCGCCTTCACCGCCGTCGCCGTTGCCATCGGCGTTCTCCTCAACAACAAGCCCGTCAAGCGGGATTTGCTGCTCAACAATTAAAAAGCTGGACCAGGATGCTTTCGTTGTTTGTGTTTTGAATGCTTGGTTGTTACAATTTCCAACACTCGTTGGGGGGACTTTTTCCCCCGCAGCTGGAATAAGAATGCGATTTTTTTGTTGCTCAACTTGCAATGTGCGTTGCAGTGCATGTATTGCAAAGCCATGTCGATCGGTTTTGAGTGTTGCAGCTCTCAAACACCCCATTCCTGAACTGCATCCTGGATCCATTTGACTACGCCCTGCTTTGCTTTGCTTGCATCTCTACCTTCTCATTCCTCAATTATTTCCCCCTTGCTTTGATCGTGTCAAATTTTTTTATTTGGCATTTTTTGACCATTTTTTTTTAATGACAGCCGCGACGGCCAAGTTTTACACGTCGGTGATTCGCCCCGCCGTTGAGTGGCTTGCGGATGCCACGCTGATTCTGGCGCTGGCGTTCGCTCTGCTGAGCACACACGCAATGCTTGCCATGATTGTCGCCTACGTCTTTGTCGTCAATCCGTTTGTCGATGGTCAGGGCGACGGTGGCGTTTCGCTGGACAAGTCAAACCCGCTCTTCCCCAACACTCATCCGCTCTGCATGGGCCTGGCGTTCGGCGTGTTCATGCCCGAAGGTCGGTTGCCGAGTGTTCATCGATGAAAGGAGCCTTTTCATTTGCCAATCTCAACCGGTTGTTCGCTGCAAAGTGGAGTGAGCGAAAAGCAACGCAAACCGAACAACAACAAACAAATACAAAAAAATGTGGTCGCGGCGTTGTGTTTGTTGTTCAAACAATGAGTCAGGTTGGGTGGCGAATTTGCCACGCCTTCTTTTTTTGTGTTTTTGCAAATGTTTTGTTTTCTGTTTTCCGAGTTTCTTCTTGTTTGACTTTATCTCCCATTCTTTCTGTTTTTGTTTCTCGTTCTTTTGTTTGATGGGTGTTTTTCTGGAGCGTTACTTCTGTCGCCGGTCTGCATTCCGCAAACACGGTGCCTCTCGACCATCGCATCGTCGTGGTATTGTTTATCACTCATGCTCCATCAGTTATCGCCTCTTCTTTCCATAATACGCCCCTGGGGATATGCGTCCTAAGACCATATGCAACACTTTGCTTGTTTGAACGTCCCTTTCGCTCACCAAACTGGACAATCCCAAACAGCGGCGCTCGTCTATCGCTGGCTTCCCGCCTCACGGCCCGTGAAAAAGTACTTGCACAGCGCTTTGCACACGGCAGCCATTGTTGCCTCGAGCATTGGCTGGTATGTCAGCTGGAACACGGACGAGATGGTCGGGTTTGGCCATTTCAATCGCCTGCACTCGCACATCGGGCTGATCGCCTTGTTCCTGTTCTACTGCCAGTATCTGGCAGGGTTTTTCGCGTTTCTCTTCCCCGGAGCCCCGCTCGAAGACCGTCCGCGATACGCGCCAAACCACAAGTTCGCTGGCGTTCTTGTCATCTCGATCGGTGCCGTCGCGATTTGCACGGGCGTGCTGTACATCCAGACTGCCTATGCCGAGCAATTTGGCATCACTGACACCAACCAGTACTTTACCATCTACATTGGTCTCATTGCGCTGCTCACTGCCACTATGGTTGCAATTGGCGTTTCGCGTTCCACCGCCAAGCAAGCCGACACCAATCTTTCCCTCCGACCTGGGCACTGACGAACACTGTCCTGCTTTTTGCGTTGGTGTGTACCTTGCACGTTGTCCAGATTGAATCTAGCTTGGAAGTGCTGTCCCTCTGGTAGAATCGCATGCTCTCCGAAATTTCCAGACGCTCAAAAGTGTTTCGATCTGTAGCAGCAACCAATCAATCCAGTACTCTTTTGGGTTTGTTTTTTGTTTGATCTTTCCCTTCTTGTTTGATTATTGTTGGCTTTCTTCGTTCTTTGCATTCCTGGCAAATCTTCAGCACAAGTAAGCCACCGCGCGTCGCTAGGTCCACTCAAGGAGCGACCCACGCTTCTTCTTCGATCTTCGTGCTCTTGTTGGATGAAGCGACCTCCATCACACAAGAGTACGGTGGGGGAAAGTCAAAATATTGATAGCGCGGAAACGAAGCGATGATACAGCTCGGTATCGATGCGCCTGTTGCTGCTGTGAGTGGCGTGCGTGGCTTTGAGTCATGCTGTTGTAAATACGGTACACTTCGCGTTCCCCATCATTGAAGGTTCAATAAGCTGGAGCAACCTACCGTTTAGGTCTACCGCATTGAGTGCCCAGCAAACACTCATGAGCTGAGAAAGTGTAGAAGCTTGAACCTTGAAGGTGTGCGTTTTTCGGGTTTCTGGCTTTGGCGTGACCTCAACCGGTCGATCGCCACGATGGATGGCAATTGCAGTGCAAGGCTGACAAAGTCTGATCTGGCTCGCAGCAAATGCAGAGTGGTGCACACACACACACATCACACAAACAACCGGCCTCGTAGAACAAACCCGATCGTCGGCATCCTTTTGCCTTTGTTGGGCAATTCGAAACGCATGGCTCGCACTCGCTGTCCTGCCGTCGCTTTCTCTCTCTCACATCACACTCCGTCCCAACAATCGCACGACAGCAGCATGCAAATTGAAAACGTGTACAAATGCGCCACAGAGCAACAAGTAGGAATCGAAGGCCGGTTGTCTGCACTGAGGCACGGCCAACCACAAAATAGCAGTGGACACAACCCACTTCCCCCCAACAAACGGGCCTCCACGCCACTGCTGCTGCTCTGCCGTCGGTCGGACCTGCGCCAGTGGCGTATGCTCATGGATACGCACTCCTTTCAGCAGCAGCGCGACTGGCACCGAGCCTTGTTACGACCTCGGTGTGTTTCCAATCCCAATGGCCGAATTCACACATGTCATTCCTCATTTTGACTAATCTCGTCGTCCCCATTCAGCGTCGACTGGCGTCCATCCCCAAGCGAAATCCAGTGATCTGCGAGCCAAGCATCTCATCATGACGGTACGTCCTTACTCTGCGTTGAGGCAAAAGCGCACCTCAAGCCAGTCAAGCCAAAGCCAGCCACTTTTGTGCTGCGAATTTTGAATTGTATTTTTTTCATTTTTGTATTTTAATTTTTTGGGTTCGTTTTTTGTCACTGTCGGGACACAGACGCCATCCATGTTCGACCCTCCAGAGTACCAGAAGCTCATGCGTAGCATCCGCGCACACTTCCCTGGCCTGCGTGCATCGATGCAGGCCAGCGACGAGGTGACGAACGCGCACGTCGACCACGAGGACGAGGCGATTGCTGAAGCACTCAAAGTGAACATGTACGACTTTGGCTTGATGCATGTTGCGTTGGGGTGGCGGTTTGATGTAGCAACAGAGTCTGGATGCAGAAATGCCTCACACTGACGTATGGATGGATGGATGGATGGATGGATGGATTGGGGGATGGACAGTTTGGGCGATGTTGGAGCACAGGAGATTGCCGATGCGCTCAAGCGCGGTGTCACGGGCAGCCCCCAAACCGGCAGTCCTGCTGCAAGTGCGAATGCCAATGCTGATGCCGTTCCGGAAAGTTTCGACTCGTGCCACACGGAGGACGACGGCGAGCGCGCTTGGGCCATTCTGGAGAATGCGGGCGGGTCGCAAGTTCCCGCCTCAGTTGTGCGCGCAATGGCTGCCTACATGACACGCTCGTACGTTCAGATTGGCGCCGGATACCACATGTCCACCAAGGGCGCCATCACGGTGGATATGGCACACCGCTTTGTTGCACGGCTCTTGAATGCAGAGCAGACAGGCCGCATCATTCTGGGATCGTCCGCGTCGCAGCTCATCTACATGCTGGCCGATTGCTTGCGTGACACGCTCGAGCCCGGAGACGAGGTGGTTTTTGCCGAAGCCGCGCACGAGTCCAACGTCACGCCGTGGCTCGCTCTCAGCCGGCATCATGGCATTGTTCTGCGCAACTGGGAAATGGACACGACCACGATGGAGACGTGTCCAGTTGAAAATCTCACGCCATTGCTCAACTCACGAACGCGCGTTGTCATCTTCCCCCAAGTCAGCAACCTGCTCGGCACGGTGGTTGATGTTGCAGCCATCACCAAGCACATCCGCGCCAGGGCACCTGCCGCCCATGTTATCGTGGACGGAGTGGCGTACGCGCCGCATCGCGTCGTGGACGTCAAGGCCTGGGACGTCGATTATTACGTCTTGTCAACGTACAAAGTGTACGGCCCCCACATGGGAGCCCTCTATGGCAAAGAATCGGCCATGCAAGAGCTGCAGGGTCTCAACCACTACTTTATCCCCAGCAATGTGCCCTACAAGTTTGAGATTGGTGGCTCGAGCCATGAAGGGTGTGCCGGCCTTTTGGGCTTGATTCCCTATCTCAAGTTTTTGGCCAAGACTGCGCAGTGCAAGAAGGTGGAAGGCCCTCGCGGGGGGTGGCGCGACACGACGCTTGACATTTCTCGCGCAGAGATTGTTGCCGCATTCCAGCTCATGACACACATTGAACGCCACCTCACGCGACACCTGCTCAAGGGACTTGCCAGGCTGGCAGAGCGCGGCCTTGTCGTGATCGGACCCGCGGTCGACCTCGCGTCCGATGCTGCGGTGGATGCACGCATCCCCACGGTGGCCTTTGTCAGCACCGTTCCCAACTGCTGGCCCAGCATCATAGTCCGTGCTTGTCATGAAAAAAAGGTTGCCATTCGTTCCGGGCACATGTATTCTTGGCGCATGTGCGAGGCCCTTGACATTGACCGTTCTTTGGGGGTCTGTCGGGTGTCTCTTTCGCACTACAACACCACCGAAGAGGTCGATCGGTTTTTGGCGGTTCTAGAAAAGGTGCTGTCTGAAAAACACGCATAGCAGAAGAACCACCCGCTAGTTTTCGACAAGAGATTTTATCATCAAGACTGATATATGGGTAGATTTGATGTGCAGTAGTTGTTGGTAGTTGTTGGTCGTTGTGTTCACGAGCTGGTTGGAAGTCTGTAGCATGAATGCAAAAGGTCTGGTTGGTTGTTTTTTCAATGCAGTTCAATTCTTCCAATGACGTGCAACCGACACACAGGTTACGACGTAACACAGTCAGGCGCAACAGCAGCATTCTCGTCAGCTGCTGCCTCATCAGAATTGCGGAGAGTGCGTGCAAACTGCAGTAGAAGCGATAGGGAGCGAGCCGGCAGGCGGTTCAAGGGCATGTCGATGGCGTCCTTGACTTGGTTGTGGTTTGCTTCCAGTAGAGTGTCCAACTCTGAGAGATGCTCGGGAAGAACAAGCATTCGCCCACTGGCAGGAATGGCTGCAGCATCTTGCCGCCGCCGGTTTTGGGCGCGGAAAATAGCCGGATCATCCAGCGTGTCGCATCCTTCGGCCGCACGCGGCGCCCACAGTGCGACACTGTCTTCAATGCCACTCGTCGCCAAAAGACACTCTGTCGGATGCGGCTGCACACAATTGACAATCTGACGGTCGCCATGCAGGACAAGCGCCAGATTTCCGGTTCGACGTTCCCAGACGTAAATGTTGCCGTCGTCGCTGCCGGCAACAATATACTCGTCGTTTTCGCCAAAAAAGTTGGCTTCCTTGATATCTGTTTGGCAGTTGATACTTCCCACAAACCGTTCGGCGTATGGATAGGTCACGTCCGCAGTTTCATCCGAGTCGCCGTCGTCGTCGTCGTCGTCGTCGTCGTCGTCGTCGTGCTCGTCGTCGTCATTGCTGTCGTTGTTGTCATCATTGCCCTCGTCGTCGGTCCAGCGTCTCTGCCGTCCTCGGAGTGCTCGTCTTTCCCGACGGGGTTCGTAGAAGGGATTGAGGCGTTCGGGACCATCATCCACTGATTCGTCTTCCTCTCCATCGTCCTCCTCTCGGTCGTTACTGTCATCGCCATCACCATCATCATCACTGACTCGACCATGCCCTGACGTGCCCGAAAATGGCTTTAAAATTTTGTCAATCTCGCTCGATAGGTCAGGGTGTGATTGGCGGACGCGGTCTGCTGCAGCCGCCGCCACGTCGGTGAGCTTGAGCCGGCGCAGCAAGCGGATTTGCGCCAACAGCATGTCCGCGTCGTCGGGGGCGCGTGCCAGTGCTTGGGCAATGTCGCGCAAAGCAGCCATCTGGTCGCCCAGCCAATTGCGAGCTTCAAATGCGCCTGCACGCCACTTGAACAAGTCTGGATTTCTCGGAGTTTGAGCGATAGCAGCAGAAAAGTGATAAATTGCGACGGAGGGCAGCTCGTGGGACTGCAGCAGGTCGAGTCCTTCCGAAGCGGCCTTGCTGGCGGCAGTAAGCTGCAGTCGGGTGTATGCCGGTGATGTGGGCACTGGTTGGTCTGGGGTCTCGTTCAACGCTGCTGCGTGATGAGCTGTTGTTCGGTTGTGCAGTGTCTCAGGGTTGGAGTTTCGCAAAGGCATCACGAGCTGCTTGGACTGTTGCCTCGACTCGGTGTCAAAGATATCGTACGTGTAGACGTGGTTGCAAGAGTAATTGGCGAGCAGCGTGGTGCCGTCCTTCGAGAACGTAATGTGAGTTGCGTTGGTCTCTGATTTTGCGTCGCGTCCCCGAAACAATGCCAGAGGTTGGGGGCGTCGTGTAGCGCCCAACGAGAGCATACGTCTGTGTGTTTGATTGGGGGGGGGAGGAGGGAGAGAATGATTTGCAAATTTGTGGTGAATTTACCAGAGTGAAACCAGCAGCCAACCAAAAACCCTGA